CCATTCAACAACAGGATGATGCACTATCAGTTTGTAGGCAATATATCAGAGGTGAATGGAAGTCAGAGGATGAAGTCAAGAGAGAGAATACTGAGACAAGGTCCTGGCTGAAAGAACGTAACAACATCATAGAATGTGGTGGAGTATTGTACAGACAACCACCAGACTCCAAACACCCTCAGAGGAGGCGGTTACTTGTTCCAAAGAGCCTCCAAGAGAAGATGCTACAGATGGCTCATGACCAATGGGGCCATCAAGGAATTAACAGAACTTTGGCAATTCTGCGAGAGAGATGCTTCTGGCCAGGCATGTGTAGTGATGTGAGAGGACACGTCAAGAAGTGCTTTGTCTGCATTGCATCTAAGACGCCAACACCAGCATTACGAACTCCAAGACGACATCTGTTGGCATTCAAGCCCCTTGAACTGATCGCAATCGACTTCTTGAAACTGGATAAAGGTCAAGGTGGATACGAAGATGTCTTGGTAATTACTGATGCATTTACCAAGTTTGCACAAGCAATTCCCTGCAAAAACCAAACTGCAATAATTACGGCACGTGCCTTGATTGATGGTTGGATTGTCCACTATGGTGCTCCGCTGCGAATTCACTCAGATCAGGGACGAAACTTTGAAAGTTCTCTAGTCCGGGAATTGTGCAAGCTGTATGGTATTGAGAAAACACACACCACACCCTACTACCCACAAGGCAACGGGCAAACAGAAAGGTTCAACCGAACTTTGTGCAGTATGATCCGTTCACTTGAGCCAGATCGCCGAAGGAAGTGGCCTGGTCTTATTCATCAATTAGTATTCCTGTACAACTGTACACCTCATGGGACGACAGGACTATCGCCATACCGACTCTTATATGGGCGAGAGCCCCATACCCCGCTAGACCAACTGATCGGGAATGGACAAGCAAATTGGGATGAAGACTTTGTGACAGAGCATTCAAAGTCACTCCAACAGGCGCACATGGTTGCAAAACAAAATATGGAGACGATTCTGAAAAGTGAAAAGACAAGGCATGATGCCCTCCCAATGAGTTCACCACTCAGCATCGGCACGAGGGTGCTACTGAAGAAATGTGCTTTTGAAGGCCGTCATAAACTTGCCGACAAGGTCTTAAGGGATCCTTTCATAGTGACCGCAGTTAACGAGACCGGTGATGTGTACAAAATCCGTCCTATGCTAGGTGGACCAACAAGGGTTGTTAACAGAAGGCTGTTGATCATTGACCCACGAGAGGAGGTACTAGTTCTTAATCCACAGGCCAAAGCAAGGGAGCACGTGAGTTCACAACAAAAATCGCTGGCTACTACAGACGGAAACAATCCCTACTTCGCCTTTTTGTGGGAACCTCGGATTTGAGTAGGCCTACCCCAGGTGAAGAAAAACAAGCTATCCTCAATGAAGAGGACAATTTGAATGAAGATACCACAGTAACTGGAGATGAATCTCATGAGAGAGCCAACCCTCAACAAGAGAACGCTAACTATGAGTTTGAGTGTCGGAGGTCTCGCAGGATAAATAAGGGACAACACCGAAATCCGCATAATCTCCCTGTATCTGTATTACCAATATGAGAAGCGAACAGTTTTGAATAGAGATTTGTTGATATTATGTGTGTTATATGTATTATGTACATGACTAATTGCATATGCCATGCATAGAAATTGGAAGTATTATTATTATTGTACAATGTTTGAAAATTTGAATGTTTTGTATTTACTGCTCGTAATTAGATATATTTACTGCTCGTAATTACATATATTTACCAATTGCAGTCAAACATTATGACATTAATCGTGGGGAAGTTGTTGTAAATTGGAATTTATGTTGTAAATTAAATAGAAATTATGTGGTGCAAAGATGCCCCCCCCCCTTGCTTCTTCAGTCAATGACAAATTGTTTCCCCTCTAGAGGGATTCCCAATGTATTGTTTCCCCTCTAGAGGGGTTCCCATTGTACTGTTTCGCGCCTTTTTTGGGGTATCTCTATTGAACTCTTTGCATGAGTGGATTTCTTTTGTGTGATTGCTAGCATTGGTGCATGCTATAGCAGGCAGGTAGCCATTCCAAGCTATGTGATAGGACTGCAAGCACTTGTACATTTGGCCTGCTGTAGGAGGAAATGTGATCAGACTTTGTTTAAAGTAAGTTGGATTGTTTAATAATTATGATTGTATTTCATTTAACTTATTGGAATGATGATATATACATGTACATGTACCTACAAGCATTACTAATGAGAGTTTTAATGGTGAAAGTAAGATCGGTATAATTGAATTATGTCTTGCACTATATTTGCATGGGAACAATGATGCTTCATTGAAATACTCTTGTCATTTATTTTGTTATATGATATATGAAGGAATTGCAGTATAATTGTGTTAAATTGAACAAATCATCCTTACAACTTTGATGAGAATAAGCTTCCTTTTATAAGTCATTGATTTTTAGTATAAGAAATGCCATTTGATCTTATTTCTAGGTCTGCTGTATTTCTAGGTCTGCTGTGGATATGATACTTGGTAGCATGCATACGGTCACTGTTGTTTAGCGTTCTGGCTAGTATTGGCCGGTGAGTTGAATTTACTATGTTATGTTACTTTATGATTTATTATATATGTGAATGAATCAATACTATAATTTATTGTACCATGTAGTTCATGATGTTGGACAGAAGAAGAAACAATGAGTGTAATTTATTTTGTGTATTTATTTTGTATAATAATAAATGGGTTGATTGAGATTTAGTTGCATGATATTACAAAACAATGTCAATAAATAAATATTTGTGCTGTTGGTATCAATAATATAATTGTTGATTTATGTAAGTTCACCACGATTTAAATATTTTGTTCAAATTTGATTATTATTACAGAGGCTGTTTAACGAAGAGAAAAACAATAAAGTACAGACTCTACTTCACTGACTCCGGATGCATTATTTGGTCGTCATGATCTCGAACCCTCTCATTATCATAATTACTTATATTCTCATTACAGTATTTTTTTTAGGGAAGGGGGTCTTTCTTGATCGTACCCTCTTGTTGATGAAATGAATGTAAGGACAGTGCATTATGTACGATTTTAACATCATTTATTTATGTACAAAGTAATGACATACATAGGATCGACTTCGTCTCTATATCAAGGTGAACATCGAAATAAGGAAGTAGACACAAAACCTTTATCAAATGGAAATAAGACCTTTGACAATGTGTCTAATAATACAACAGTGCAAGCTAATACAGATTTTAGGGTTCGTAAAGAATGAACTATTAATACCCGAGTCAAACCGACTCAAGACCGACGGATCCTTGGTCATTTTTGTAAATTCTTTTGAAGTGTGTTGTTGGTCTGGTCATCGGTGTATAAAATGATGTGTAACAGACAATGGTCCTCGAAAATTATCCCCATTTCAATCGAAGAATTAAGTTGTCTTGCCGCTTTCAAAAGATCCCTTTAAACATACTACTTCCGTCAGAAATATAACATATTCACCTGTTTTATGAATTTTATGTTTTTTTTCACATTCTTTTATTTTGTAGGCGCTATGGTACTTCTTTTTGTTTTGTTTCCAGTGCTCCTAATTCGTCGATATTATCTCTATGACCTCTGACTCACTGTAACATTGCAATGGGTCTGCTATAATTTCACTGATAAATTCATTGAACTTAAATACATCGTCAAATTCATGAAAGTTATTATCCCTGGATACAGCGTAGATTTTAATAAAGACGAGCACTTCATCCGAGAATACCATGATTCATGATAAATCAAACCCTTGTAAAAGACCGATGATATCACAACATTGTGGTTCGAATGTTAGGAGACAAATATTTTATCAAATACATTCAGGGATTTCAATACATTGATAAGTTGCACTGCCCTCTGTTTACCATATTTATATTAGATTTATAGGAACAACAACGTGGTTCAATCAGACATCCAAATACTCTGTGGCTTGATAACAATAAATACTAAAAATAAGAATGAAGGCAAATTTCGGAAAATACTTTAAAAATATGTTAGACTATACATGTACTTCAGTCGATAACACTTTATGTTGAATGATAATAATGATTAATACAATGATACAAAGCATAAAAGTATATTTTACATAGCGCATGTCATAAAAGAAATTTCTTTTTTGCATTACTTAAAATCTTGTAACTTCATAAAGTAACATTATACTAACAGATACTTTTTAACATGTTGAAAATTGACATGGTCTTGTAGTTTGGCATGTTTCATATTATTGTACTCTGTTTCTTCTGTTATTGCAACGCTGGTGGGAAGCATATTTCCACATTGTGGACGAAATAAATAAATATCTATCTAAATATGTAGTTGATTTTTCCTCATGACTTGCCCTAGAACTTACGGTAAAAATTCTCAAAAGTGCCGAGAATTGTGATCAACATTTAGTATTATTTTTCAGTAAGAATAATACTAGACCCGTAAAGTGATACGAATCATTAGAAAAATGATACATATCATCATATTTATAAGACCCTTTTTTTGCAACAATACAAAAACCATTTTCTCAAAATCTATGTCCTTTAAAAACATCATATTACCATGAAAAAAATCCAGTTAATGAAATGCATTATATGTAGAGTATATCCACCATATAACTAAGAAATAAAGGTGTATTGTTTTGAAACGTTTTCGTATAGTTTGATCAATTTACGTTGAGGTTTAAAATGATTTGAACATGATGTAGCATTTTGTAATCATAAAAAATGAATATTAAGTAAAATTATGGAAATTGTATAGGCACAGATCAATTCAACTTTAAGCAGATTAGAAGAAGGTAGTAATACGATGAGAGCCTATTATTAAAAAAGAAAAGAATCGTCATTGGAATTTTCTTGAAATCCTTACGAGACTATTCTTAAAATGAATAGAGAGATAGAGAAAGATAGAGAGAGAACGTGAGAGAGCGAGAGAGAGAGAGAGAGAGAGAGAGAGAGAGAGATGGGTGAACATTATTCCTTAACCTGAAGCAAAACACCGCACGTAGCTACGGCGGTGCTAAGACCGAACAACCACATGAAGAAGCGATCGACCACGAACGCGATCCGCATCCATTCCCCCTTGATTTCTTCATCGACGATGGCGTCTTCTGAATATTCGACGACTTGCTGAAGACAAGAGGCGATCTGGGACATGATGAAGCGGATACGACCACGGCGATCAAGCTCAACGCACGTGCCCGACTGCGATGTCGGCAGGTTCGCGACATCGAGTTCGAGGGGCATCTCGTTGCTATGAAGACCGGCTTCAACGACCCCTGTGGATGAGCCACTGCTTCCTGAAGCGTTCTCGAAGTTGATTTTAGGGATCTAAAATGAAATTCATAAGATTGTTACATCAAAGAGGGGTTGTATGACGAATATTATCCGAAAATGTCACGATTATATGAAAATTAGTCCTGTCCATAAATAATTTCAGCCTGTGGGACCAATATCTTTAGGACGAATATCCACAACACTATACACTCAGGTGAAGATACTCTATTAAGTAGGCAGTTGCTTTGGGATAGTTTCACAGGTGATATGATCTTGGGGATTTTTTCCTCGGGATGATTGTCCGATGGAGCAGATGGGACCACATTCTTTTAAAACTGCTAACACAGCATTCCATAAAATTCTACACTTGTAAATGCAGTAGGTCTTTTCGGTAGTGTGAACACATGATTCCACTCTTCAAATAGTATACCATACTTATACTGTGGACATATTATTCCCTACTGAAACAGTATTCAATCCACAATTTCCTTTTGATCTTGTAATATCTAGAATATAACCATTACCTTATCTTTGACATCCGGATTATGACAGTCACCCATGCACATGAACTTGGCCAGGTAATCGAGTGTGAATCGTCGGAACCAAGAGGGCGCCCTACCCACGTACGTCCCGCGGTGGTGTATGTAGAGCACGATTGCTGTGAGGACAGTTGAAGCGGACACGAGGACCATAGTGGTGATGTAATACTGGGCTGATAAGGAAACAATGAACAAGGAGATTCCGTCGGTCGAAGGAAAGATATATACACCATGATTTCGAAATATACATGTAATTTAGCTTTAGAAACAAAGACAATCGGAAAATAAACCCAATAGCCCGATTTACTTTAACATGCTTTTGCTTCGGTTAGAGTTTTTTGTTGTCAACAGCAGGGCAACGATCGTTTCAAGAAACCGTCAAAAGGACAAGTTCACCCACATCACAATAGGAATTTTTAGATTTGCACGTCGACACACTGTTCCTATGATAGATAGTCTGGAGGATCCCTCTGGTGAAACGCTTCCTGACGTAGTTCTTTTTATAATGCCCATTGCAAATGATGCGTCATGAGCGACGTAGGATTGCGTCAGTGACCCGCTTGGCAGTTGATGCGTCATGGCAGAGAGGCACCGTACAAAACGTAAATGCCAACTGAATACTAATAGTCAAAGGGCTGTGTTCAATTACTGGCACATGTACTAATGCCCGTTGCAAACAAGGCGATATGTGGCTGACGTAGGATTGCGTCAGCGACTAGTGTGATGTTTGGCGCGCATTGTGATCGCAATCGCAATGAAGTCGTACATTAATGCGAATTGTGGCCGCTAAATAAACAGCGCAAACTTTGAATTGAATTACTAGTGTATGCACCAATCACTTTAAGAGGGTTCTAGGACACCTACATTGTACCCCTGGACACCCACCCCCTGGATAACCACCCCAGTTAACTATCCCCTATGGGATAACTGCCCCCTAGGACAACTACCCCCGGACAACTACCACCAGACAACTACCCTCAGACACCTACCCCTACGACAACCATCCTCTAGGACAACTATCCTAGGGGGTAGTCATCCTAGAGGGTGGTTGCCCTAGGGGGTAGTTGTCCGGATACGCTTTTAGAGGCGTGATTATAAAGCGCAGGTATTAACGCAATCAAAATGACGCCGTGCGTTCAACGGGCATAATTCAGGTACGACAAAATGCTCCTGTCACACTAATCCTGGACCCAACACTGTACCTGACCTAAACTTAATCCTAAACCTAACTTGAAATCATTAAATCCAAAAGCATAACTCTGCATTGTATTGATGAAACAATGCCTAGATCAATTCTTTCAATTTTTTATATAAAAAAAATAGGAATAAATGTTAATACAGCTTGCCATAAATACGCAGTAATACGCAAGCCAAATACGCAAATTTGTGACTGAGGCATTACGAGCGTGAAAACTGAACTCACCAATGAGGGGCACCACTTCGGATGTTGGCGGCATCGTCTCCGCGGCCAGGAGGAGGAAGACAGTGAGAGACAGGAGGATGGTGATGCAGAGGGTGAACTTCTCCCCGGTGTCAGCTGGCAGATAGAAGGTGAGGAGAGTCAGGGCAGACACCAAGATACAAGGCACCAGCATGTTGATGACGTAGAACAACGACCTGGAAAGTTGGAAGAAGAATAGGTCCTGCGATAAATTGGTGCATGGTGATGTACGTAACAAAGGCATTATTCACCCACAAATACATGCCTACAACATTAACATAAAAATTGTATATTTCTATAGTGCTGATGTACACCAATCTTAAAGCAGAGTAATAATAATAATAATCAAATAGATAATAATTAAACATCTGAACTGCGATAAGCATTTTTTTCTTACTATCTTGTCAGATAATTTTGGAATAGAACACAACTTACAAAAATGAGATAACCCCTTTAGCTGGTACTTTTTTTCATTAGATTTAGATTTATTAGATTTCGTCCCCATCCCCCTTCTAGAGAATCTAGATCCTCCACTGATATACGAAACCAATGTCCTTCCATTACCTTCTCCTGATAATGAGTACGAAATCGAGTACGGAGTACGGGTACTTGCAGCAGCTATACTGGGGCAGGGTCCGGATCACGGGGAAATCTTCCAATTTCCATTCGCCGTTGACGAGATAACTGCCAGTGTCCCCCGAGGCCGAGCGGTTCAGGATATTTAGGTGCTCCGTGGTGTAGGCCCAGGATCCGAACTGCAGGGAGCATTCCTGCTTGTCGAAGGGGAAGTAGTTGATGTTGATCTTGCAGGAGCTGCGGAAGATAGCCGGAGCGAACCAGGTGACGTTGCCATCGTTGGAAACGGCGGCGTTGGTCTTCATGGCTCCCTTGAAAGAGCTGTCGGCGCTGTCATGATATAAATACGAATAAACTTAAGTTTTGGTTGATTAATTGATAAATTATTTAACGTTTATGTTAACAAAGCGTAGCTTGTATGAACGTTTCAGGAGGCTTATCCAATATTTTGCATTATCCGAGAAGGCCTTGCAGTAACGTAATTTGACCTACTTGGAACAGAAGGCACGTTAACAAATGCCGTGGTAAAACGCAGTATAATTATGTGAACAAGCGTTTACTGGGGCTGCTAGCGTGGCCAGCTGTAATAATAATAATATGTTGTTCTATGACAGGGATATTGTTCTCAATAAATATTGCACAATTAAAAAACAAAACATTACTTGTTGTAGAGAAGGATGTCGGGTTTCCAGATATTGGAAGAAGGGATGGTGATCTTGGTAATTCCGCCGTAATCATCGGGGTTCCATTTAAGATTGGCATCGCTCCAGCCCTAATGATACAGAACGGTGGAGGTTGTGAGAAAAGCAGAGAAAACGCGAGATGAGCGGAGAGGCGTGGGATGAAACAAAGCAAAAGATAATGATTTTTTTTATTTTTATAAATCTTTTAAATAAAGAAATATTTATAACGTTGAAGACAAGTGTGGGGTAAAATGTGCTGTAAGGGCTGAGTAAAGTTCATGTAGCCTATGTAAAACTCTAAGCCCAGAGCAAAATAATAATGGCTTTCACATTGTAGATTATAAATATCAAAATGTTTATATATGTTAAATATGAAAATGTAAATTTAAATATCACATGAACATGTATGCTTGAAAAGAGGATATAGAAATCAATAAAACAATCACCAAAAGAATCCTAAAAGGATAACGCACAGGAAAACGAAGATGATGACATTTTTAGGAAAACCTAAAGATACCGATAGTCTCGAAAGAGGAAATATAAACATCGAGAGAAAAAGAAAGAGAGAGAGACAGACAGAGACAGAGAAAGAGAGGGATGGGGTGGTACTAAGCCACACACACACACACACACACGCACGAAAAAGAAAACATCAGCAAATGTCATTTATTTTTAGAGAACAGCCGATGTGACAATAAACACATTTCTTACCTGTCTTAGCCACACATTAGTAGTAAGAATTTGATTCCGTTCATCCTGACACATAAAGGGGAAATACAAAATGAAAAATAAAAATGAAATTGTACGTTACCCATTCCAATTTAAGCTAAGGTATTGGCATGTCAGTTATTGCTCACAAATAAATCATAAATCACATAATTTTTTTTTTTTTATGATGGTGATGATGAACAGCATTTGTATGGCGCCATATATCTGTTTCAAAAAAACATTCAAAGGCGCGAGCTCCTCCAATAAAATTAGCATTAAAATTAAGATGTGAGTTTTGAGTGAAGCTTTGAAGTGGTCCAGGTTGTCAATTTCGCGAATAGATGATGGGAGGGAATTCCACAGGCTAGGAGCAATATAGGAAAATGCCCGGTCTCCATACCCTTTGAGATGAGTAATGGGCACCTGGAGAGTAAGGCCAGATGAGCGAAGGCATGGAACCTATGTCTAAAATTGAGTTGCCAGCATGACCCGAATACAGAGACGAAATATTAAGTGGTCGTCACCATTTCAGCAAGATTAGATAAGGCCCCCTAATATGGTTTAATGCACAATGATGTTAACTTAGAAATATGAATGACCAATACAACATGTGGGTCTTCGAAATGTTTGCCAACAAAGGGGTAGTTGGGTACGTAGGGCCTTCCACCTCGTAATTTAGAGGGGTACACACTATCAAACACATTCCGCTATTTACACATGTTTTTAAAGAGCTGGAAAAGCCACATGGTTTTGCATGTCAACATTCTAGACGATGAAAGAGTAAATGACGATGTTGCGGTCTTGTTTCGTACATTAATCTTCTTTCATTGATAACCAAAAATTAACACAGGGCAATTTCAATAGCCGTGTGCGGCACCTAGTGAATTCTGTGAAAATGACAGTGACATATGATAATTCGTACATGCTTTCTATATAAAATGAACTTGAACTTGATGTGCTATGCAATGTATAATTGAAATAACCTTTAAAGAGAAGTTGAGTTCTTGGAAGAGGTGACAAATAATTTGTGAGCGTTATCATTTTTATTACTATATCAATGCAGAAGTTTGAAGTCGGTGAGATGTATATTATCGGTCGGCCGACAACTTTTTTTCTCTAGGAACCATAGGCGCCGGAAGTGGGGGGGCAGGGGGGGCAGTTGCCCCCCCAGTCAAAAAAGTGGGGGGGCAAAACGCATTTTTGCCCCCCCTAAACGCCCCCCCCCCTTAAAAAAAAAAAAAAAAACAGTAAAGGAGTAAACATGGTTTGTATTTTTAATCAAAAAGAACGTAACAATAATAAAAACCTGAATTAAATCACATATACAATTCCATTCAAAGAAAAAGGAAAGTTAACAGGAATTAAATTTCATAAACATTGCGCATGCCACCTATACGGGATTTATCAATGGAGGTCTCTATATAATAGCGATACGCGCATATCGTGGACATATTGTGCGAGAATGGGAAAGCGTGTCCGTTTTTTTGTTATAAAAGATGAGAAGACATGAGCCCCTGAACGCTGGCGTACTGATGGGGGGGGGGGGGGGGTGATGTATTTTTTATTCGAAACAAGTGATTTGCAAATGTTGATGTTGTGACATGATTTTCCGGGAATTTTTCTCCATTTTTTTTGTAATTCATACCTTTTTATGCGTTTGTTGGAAAAAAAGAAATTCCCAAATTACAGTCAGGCGAAATACGCTTATTTAGAAGCCTTTAGGTCTTGGTCTGCAAAGTGGCTGGGCTCGAGCCCCCCTCCCCCCCTCCTTTTTGAAAAAGTATGTTAAAGAGAAAAAGAAAGAAAGACGAAGAAAAAAATAAGTGACCTGCCAATGTCACAAATAAGGTATAAAATATGCTCATCTGACCGTAATTAAATGCTTAAAACCCCAGAGCTTACAGGGGCTCCGCCCCCGAACCCCACCAAGGGCCCTAAGGCGGGCCCCTGGATGCTCAACTGACCGTAATTAAATACCTAAAACCACTGCGCTCCCGGGGGCTCTGCCCCCAGGACCCCACCAAGGGCCCTAAGGCGGGCCCCTGGATGCTCATCTGACCGTAAATAAATACCTAAAACCCCCAAGATTCCAGGGGCTCTGCCCCCTGGACCCCAACAAGGGCTCTAAGGCGGGCCCCTGAATGCTCATCTGACCGTATTTAAATACCTAAAACCCCTGCGCTTCCGGGGGCTCTGCCCCCTGGACCCCACCAAGGGCCCTAAGGCGGGTCCCTGGATGCTCATCTGACCGTAATTAAATGCCTAAAACCCCTGCGCTTCCGGGGACTCTGCCCCCTGGACCCCAACAAGGGCTCTAAGGCGGGCCCCTGGATGCTCATCTGACCGTATTTAAATACCTAAAACCCCTGCGCTTCCGGGGGCTGTGCCCCCTGGACCCCACCAAGGGCCCTAAGGCGGGTCCCTTGATGCTCATCTGACCGTAATTAAATGCCTTAAACCCCTGCGCTTCCGGGGGCTCTGCCCCCTGGACCCCACCAAGGGCCCTAAGGCGGGCCCCTGGATGCTCATATGACCGTAATTAAATACCTAAAACCCCTGAGCTTCCGGGGGCTCTGCCCCCTGGACCACACCAAGGGCACTAAGACGGCCCCTGGATGCTCATCTGACCGTAATTAAATACCTAAAACCCCTGAGCTTCCGGGGGCTCTCCCCCCCCCCCTTGGAACACGTCAATTGCCTTACAGAGGGCCCCTGGATGATCATCTAACCGTAATTAAATAGCTAAAAAGCCTAAGCTTCCGGGGGCTCAGCCCGTTGATCCCCTGTCGAGGCTCATGCTCTGGACCCCACGCCAATTTACCCTCTACCTGATCGATAATACTCCACTTTGAAAAACGTTCCGCGGGACCTGCATGTAACGTGTAAGACTGGTGGTGATGCAGATTTTTCGTCTGCCCCCCCCCTTCCGAACTTTATTTTTCTCATTACGTCACTGCCCCTGGAATGTGAGCCCCCTGGAATGTTTGCCCCCCCCCCCCCCAATCCCAAACTGCTTCCGGCGCGCCTGCTAGGAACTGTGACTTTTTATCCGCTGTGACGACTTCAAGAGTGACTACAATTACATGTATTTTCTCGAAGTTTCACTTTCCTATAAGACCCACTGAAAAAGGTTTAGCAACGCCCCTGGACGTCACACGTAGCAGTCCACTATATCGTCTTGCAATTCTAAAAGTCCCTATTATGCAAGTGTGGGAGAACGTCAGAGAAGAAAAAGTTCTAAATATGGTATGTAACAGCATTACAGCATAATAACGGGACGAAATTTTTCGACACATGTTCGCGTAGTCCCATATATATATCCCATATATCCCATAAACTATACCGAGACGGGGCTGATTTTCTTATCATTTTGATGATTGCAGAACCTTGCAGTACACACCAATAATTATATGCTAGATAATCAACCTTTTTTGATCGACTCCGCCACTGTGTTTTTTCAAAATGCAATCGCATGATCAGAACTCAACTTTATCTTTTAGTTGAATTCTAAATATTATTACTCCTTCGGTGGAAAGTATTCCGGTTTTACCATGTCGATTATCTGCCTGATGGCCATTCCGTAGAGAACGTTGATACTTTGTGAGGCTCGCTCAACAGGTCGGATGTCTTTAGAGTAATTGGCAAACAGGTTCGTGAACAGGCGTAAAGTATCCGTAGTTTGAGTCTGTCCCGATACTCCTAGTTGTAAACAAGTGAATAAGTAATGGGTAAACAAGTAAACATACAAGCACGTGCTTACCTTCAAGGAAATTTTGAAAATTGGATGGATAGTAATTCTTTAAAATGTTGATAGTTGGATTCCCATTTGGATATATAATAAACACTACAAAATTTAGACTGTAAACCACTCCTTCTTTCGAGTAATTGAATAATCAAAATTTTACCGGTGCTCCCGGTATATGTCAAATATTTAAAATGTGCCTACGGTAGCTACGACCATGGAAATCTCAGAATATGCAGTTCTGATATATAATTTCCAAACGGGAATAGAAAATCGGTCGATTGTAGTCAAGAAACATTGTTTTAAAGCTATAGTAATATCAGTCTAGAGAGGGAGCTATACAACATAACGAGATTATTACCTAAAATCACTTTAGACTCGATTTCAACCACGACAACAATCATTGAATATTGTAAAATCGCATATGCTTCCAATATGTTCATTTAAACCAAATGACCCCACACCAATTTTTGTTATTACCTTTAATAAATGGAATATTAGATTAGGCCCATGTAAAGTTATTAGGCGTATACCGCATATGAACAGAACAGCATAGGAAGGCTGATGCCTCTTGCTTAAATACTAAGCACACTATTTCTACCCCAAACAAGAAAACAAGAATGCTTATTTAGCATCAGAATACATTCAAGAAGCCTAATTGAGGATATTCGAGCTACTTGTTAACTTGTTGCTCGCAATCAACCTGTTCCGATGTTCTGAGAGAAAAAGAAGGGATAAGATGTTATATATCCGGCCACGTCACTGCCGAATATCAAGATATTCGGGCATCTTGCAGCCCGAAACCGTAGTGCTCCTAAATTTCGCAAGGTGCAAACGAGAACCCCCCCCCAAAAAAAAAAAAACAGGAAAATCTTCAATAAATATCTTTAAAATGGTATCTTATAATTATTGCATAAGACAACAAGAGGAATTATATCGGAGTTGAACAAACCAAGGAGGGGGGGGGGGGGGGGGGGGGGGGCAGTATCTTTACTCCCTCTCCCGCCTCGTACACCTAAGATTTTTTGATGGAAGCTAGACATTTGATTTGTTTTTAAAATTGACCGTTGACCACATTTTGTATATACAATCTCATTCATATCACAAATTATGCACAAGTAATTAGTGTTTGATAGGCGGGCTCAATGAAATAACCACAATACATTTGTGGTCATTTCAGAAGCAAATTACTAATCTACAAGCAGAGACACATTATCAAAATATCCGGAATTTCACGTCACGTCAAACCCCTTTTATGTGTGTCCCTTTTACCACTTGTATGGTTAGGGGCGGCGCAAAAATATTTTGTATGGGTTTCCAAATCTCTTGTTTTACTGCCTACCCTATAGTCGCCCTGTTAAATTAACACTTCCATCACAAAAAATGAATTAAAGCGTAAATATTTGTTTAAAAAGTTACCTCCTCCTCGGGAATCGTTATTTCTATGCGGACTGTACTGAAAATAATTACTTTTATGTGCAAATGAGCGTTTTATTTCATGTTATTTACTAAAGCTTAGGTTTTCCCCAAAAGACCACATCCCGAGTAAAGTTAACAAGTAATCGACTGTAGAAGGAACTCTCTATAATAATTCCCTTAAATGAAAAAAAAACCTCATAATATTTTCTTGTGCTGTTATTATCATTTGGTATGATAACACCTGTGTTTAAAAAAAACATTATTCTTCGTAGTATTACTTCTGTAAACAACATATAATGATATAACGATATAACGATAATGTAATATTGATGATTAGACTTACCAGCTCCGATAACAATAAACGAAACCACAAAAAATACCACACTCTTCATCTTGGAAAAATCTCTCCGACTAAACACAAGAATTCGTAATAAAAAGCACAAATCTGAGTAGTTGATGAGCAAATTAGAAGTATATTATCACTGTCAGCACCGCAAATGATTCCGCAGACAAACGGTCTACGCAAAGCCCCTATTTTGCAGAATCCTTAGCCCGCTAAAAATAAGAGGGCGATGATGTTGCTGTGATTGTGCATAGGCATGGCCATTACAGGTCGTTCAATTAGCGAGAATTTGTGTCATCGATTGTTACGTAATGCTTCACATTCGCGCCCTTTTAAAGATTCTATGTCCCATTTGCAGCCAACATCAAATTCTGTAGAACTTTGCAGGACTTATGAATATGTCACGGTAATTAGCTTAACCTCTTGAAAATCAATTAAAATATTAATGAATGCTTTCAAAATTATTGTATTTCCAACATATTAATGCGTCGATATATTTTACATAATGAATTTTGATGAATTCAAACAATAGTTTGTATACTGCGTTTATAGTCATACGCTTTCATGTTGGTTTACGTACAATAATATATTTATTTGTTTGGGTTAATATGGCGTCAAACTCACTTTTTACAACCTTTCCCGACGGTGTAAAAAAAGCATACTCTGCCTTTAATTTTAAAAAACCCACACCAATATCTAACTGGCTTATAAATGTATATCGTGCATTATTGATGGCCGTGGAAAGGATATAACGACCAAGAGAGCATTAATAAGCTCTGAACTAATTTAAACAAGGTGCAATTAAAATGAGTAATCAATGGCGTTCAGCTGGCGTTGCTGACACATGTACATGTATATGCTCTCATAGATGCCATGGTTTTTAACACTTATTGATCTCCGTTAAAAGCTTCTCGACTCGTGCTAATGAAGCTGGAAAGTGTGCCAGTACTTTCTTCATAAGTTCGAGTGTCAGTGATCATATCCGAATTAAAATCAACCCTTTTTAAAGAAAATCTGAATTATTATGATCGAGGATTTTAGAAGCGCGAGCAAGCTCAATGTTTAAATCAATGCAATCAATAGGGTGTAACTCGTTAACGATCTGTTACGATGGCGGCAGTGACGGGACATTCCGGTACACACCAAAAGTCGATTTGAACGAGAGGGTAGAGACCACTCCCAAAAAGAGAAATCCTATTTTTTTCATAGCATCAAAGTGCATTCTGTTTTCATTAAAAAGTATTGATGTCGGCTTAGCATCAGGAGGAGTAGCTTCTGTCCAACCCTAAGTGGGTCGTTGCTCACTCTCTCTCTCTCTCTCTTTACTTTCCCTTCTGCCTATTTACCAGGATCCAGGATAGCTGGGGGCGTGCATATTTTCAGACCCCATTTACATTTGAAGAAAAAAAATCAGATACTTAACCAAATGGGGGGGGGGGGGGGGGGGGTGTGTAAAAACACCTGGTCCCGGGTGCAAGTTCTAATGTGCGGCAATTAGGGGCAGTTACACTGTCATCCAAACACGCCAAAAAATGCCAAACCGGAGCCTGGCCGCGATGTTACCAAGGGCAACTACGCTTTACCGGCAGACATGCCAAGCCCCAAACATTCCAAAACGAAGTGTGATCTTTTGGCGTGTTTTGGCGTGTTTTGGCGTGTTTGGCAAGTATAACCGCTCGCAGTTGTAACATCGCGATGTTAGGCACGTGACTTCCGGCACTTCCGGATTGTTACCCGCGCTCTTTTAAACCACGTTCTTCCCATGTGATATTTATAGCATTTCCATCGTCGCGCGTGTTATCCGTTCATTCAGCTCCGTTTGTTCCAATTCCGTTAACTCATCCTTTATTCAATCTTCGTTATTCCCGTCTGGCCATATCTGTCTAGTAGTAGTATTTGAGTGTTTTGTTAGATTAATTAATATGGAAGTGAACAATTCCCATTGGACTGATGATGAGATGAAGTTCTTGATTTCGATGTGGAGGCAGGGAGAGCTCCTCCACCAGACTTCCAAGCGTCCCTGCAAACGTGGGGAAAAGGGCTTCAGAGAAATGAGTGAAAGCATGAAATTAACAATTAACAACGATGATTTTCTTAACCTTCCCATATCGTTTTTACTACTAGATTTCGATTGAATTTGGGAAAACTGAATCAGCAGCCGTAGTCCGTACTTCGTAACTTATCCACTCTTGCCTCAAATACTACACGCGAGATAAACAAAACATATCGCATGCATGCGCATGGGATGTATCGCTATTTAGCTAGCTATAGCGCTAGCTGGAAATTGCGCGCGCTAAAAATCTTATAGCAGGCCGGGGTCAAAGGTCGGGAAGACTGCACATGCGCATTACCAACCGAAACACGCCAAAACATCGCTGAACAGCTCCGTCGGTGATGTTTCAGCACAAGTGTAACCGGGTGCACGAAACATCGCGACTTTTCAAAATGAGGTATTTGACAGTATAAATGCGCTGTCATAAACCAACCTATTTGATTGGGATCTGTGTGTGACCGGATTAGTCCGAGGGGGGGGGGGGGGGGGGGGGGGGGGGGGGGGGGGGGGGTACTCACATATTAAATAATGCGGGAATATGCCGTTCTAATGGCTCGATTTTCCACAAAAATTAAAACATGGGTTCCATTTTTAACAAAATTTCACTAAACATGGATCCGTTTTTCCAAAATTGTCGGGTGTTTGCACGAGTTCCAATCCTACTCCCTGGTACGACTGTATATAGATATTCCAGTGCGGTGTGCTTTGGCGCAGACAAAGGTTGCCGATAGCCTTGAGTTCCTTTCGGTTGTGCTTTGCTAAAGGCCCGGTCACACAGGGAGGACGCATGGGGAACGCACGGCCAGCGCATTGGAAATTTGCAATTTGGGCCAGTGCGTTGTCGTTCGCTAGGCGTGCGTCATCATTCGTTACTCGTTCGTCGAGCGCGCTGGACCAACGCTGGACCAGCGCTATGCATGCGTCGTCATTCGCTGTGTGCGTCGGGATTTTTTGAGCATGCTCAAAAACGTGCGCCGAGCTCGACGCATGAATATACACGCCAAAGGCACGCCAGACATGCGCCGGAGCGCGCTAGACCAGCGCCAGACATGCATGGAGCGCGCTAGACCAGCGCCAGACAAACGCGGAGCACACGCCCTGTATACGCACAGCGCGCTAGCTACACGCCGTGCATTTTGTGTCAGCTCGCTAGCTTTTCCAAAATTATGACAAAAGTTAGGCACACGTTCTTTTCCGATTTCCAATGCGCTGGCCGTGCGTCGTAGAACGCGGTGCATGCGTGGACCATTCGTCCAGCGCGCTAGCAACACGCTGTGCATTCGTGGAAGTTGTTTTCATGTGCGCTCTGTGTGCGCCCTGTGTGCGCCCTGTGTGCGCCCTGTGTGCGCCCTGTTTACGCCCTGTATGCGTCCAGCGCGCTATGCATTTGGTGTCAGCTAGATGTATAGCTTCGACAAAAGTTGGGCGCACGACAACGCACTGGCCAAAATTGCAAATTTTCCATGCGCCGGCCGTGCGTCCCCCATGCGTCCCCTCTGTGTGACCGGGCCTTAACACGGAAGATATCTAGCAAATGTATTATGTTATGCCAGTGGAAATATTCAGCAAATGTCATCCTATTTAGTTTTCCCTTTAAAGGTACTATGTCCCATTTGCAGGCCCAAAAAATGAAAAAGTTTAATTCCAACTGCATTTGAAAGATAATACTTATTTAGAACTCCCCTACAAAAGGTGGGGCTTGAAAATGTCTTCAAGTGGGAAAAAATGACTATTAGTTGTCAAATCGACTTTAGGGATATAGAGCCCAAAAGTAATAGTCTTGATTTTCAGACAATTGTACCGAATGGTCATACATTTTATGCTGCGCAAAGATTCAATCAGTTTAATCTTGGCCACCACAAGAAGTGGGTTATTGATGTAGACAAATGCTCATGTACCCTTTACAACTTTTTTCATGTCTGTTATTACCAAAGAAGAAAAAAGCCAGTCAGTCACTCAATAGTGTCTGACAGTGAAGTCTAGCAAGTAAACAGGTTTCCTTGTATAATTTGAATATGAGGACACTGCTAACGTTTAAATTTCACAGATAGGACATACATGACATGTTCATAATTCCTGCAAAGTTCTACTGAGAATTTGAGGTTGGCTGCAAAAGGGAATAGTACCTTTAAGGAGAATTAATTAGGACTAGAAACGTAGCTTCACCTAAATTCTCCTAATTACATTTGAGTATGATACGACAAGTATTCTTTTGGGTCATCTTCATGAAAAATTGTCAAAACTGTTCGATCATGCTAAACAAATACTTTTGCTTGTTTCATTATTAATATGGTGGTGAGCTCTAATGAAGAAAAAAAAATCTCAGGTCAATGGAGCATGTAATTCGATGTGGTAAACTGTCACAATAAGATTATGATCATGCTCCAACGAGCTAAGCTACTGCCTCCTTTATTACTGAAAGTCCATTTAATTTTCTCACGCCACATGAATTTGTAATCCTAACGGGCTTGGGACGAATGCGATTTCATTTTCACGATCAATTGCATACTGCAATATTGATAATTTCATGTAAGCTGTCACTCAAGAAAAGAAACATGATGTTGAGTTGATTGTACTTCTTATATATCACTTAAATCCGACCATAAACACAAACACATACAATAATTTATGATCTTTAATAATTATGAGATATTGCAGATATTTTCCCGTGTATTTGTTATGAATTATAGTAACTGTAATTCTCACTTAAACCACACATTAGATATTTCGTTCTTTTTTCTTCACTATTTATTGAAGCTTCCAACCAACAATAGACATTCCCTTAGTACCACGGAATAAAACGTTTCTTGGATTTAATGTAAAACTCTTAAGGAGCTTTTTGCTTCACTTTGTAATTACGTTTGATTTTTTTTTTGGTAAACCCCATATTTTAATCTCGTGCATGTCATCTTCGTCATAACAGTGGCGAATCCAGGGGGGGGGGGCAGGGGGCCCGCCCCCCCCCCCCTGGCAAAAAAGGGAAAAGAAGAAGGGGGGAAGGGGGAAAAAGGTAGGGGACAAAAAAAAAAAAGAAGGAAAAAAAAAGAAGGAAAAAAAAAAGGAAATGAAAGGGGAAAGATATCAAAGGTATCAAAATATGCTCATCTGACCCTAATTAAATGCCTAAAACCCCATGACTTCCGGTGGCTCTGCCCCTTGGAACCCACATAGGGCCCTAAGGTGGACGGGTGGATGCTGATCTAACTAGTTACTTGCCAGTGTCACGAATAAGGTATAACATTATGCTCATCTGACGATAAAGTGATGTATAAACATCTGAGCTTCTGAGGGCTCCGCCCCCTGGACCCAACACTAATTTGTTTCCTGCCAGTTTCACAAATAAGGTATAAAATATGCTCATCTGACGATAATTTGATGTATACCCCTGAGCTTCTGGGGGCTCCGCCCTCTGAACCCAACACCAAATTGAGTCCTTCCAGTGTCACAAATAAGGTATAAAAATATGCTCATCTGACCGTTATTTATTGCACAAAACCCCTGAGCTTCCGGAGGCTCCGCCCCCTGGACCCCACGCCAATGCGTGACCTGCCAGTGTCACAAATAAGGTATAAAAATATGATCATCTGACGATAATTTAATGCATAAAACCCCCTTAGCTTTTTGGGGCTCCGCCCCCTGGACCCAACACCAATTTGTGTCTTGCCAGTGTCACAAATAAGGTATACAAATATGCACATCTGACGGTTATTTATTGCCCAAAACCCCTGAACTTCCGGGGGCTCCGCCCCCTGGACCTCACGCCAATACGTGACCTGCCAGTGTTCACAAATAAGGTATAAAATATGCTCATCTGGCGATAATTTGATGTATACCCCTGAGCTTCTGGGGGCTCCGCCCTCTGGACCCAACACCAAATTTTGTCCCGCCAGTGTGACACATACGGTATAAAAATATGGTCAGCTGACCGCTATTTCTGCCAGAGCCACAAATAATTTATAAAATTATGCTCATCCGACGATAATTTGATGTATAAAACCCCTGAGCTTCTGGGGGCTCCGCCCCCAGGACCCAACACCAAATCGTGTCCTGCTAGTGTCACAAATACGGTATAAAAATATACTCATCTGACCGCTATTTGTTGCCAAAAACCCCTGATCTTCCGGGGGCTCTGCCCCCTGGACCCCACGCCAATACGTGACCTGCCAGTGTTCACAAATAAGGTATAAAATTATACTCATCCGACGATAATTTGATGTATAGAACCCCCTGAGCTTCTGAGGGCTCCGCCCAGGGGAAAAAACGTGTAAAAACACGTTAATTTTACCTTTTTCATGGAGAGCGACCCCTAGCGTTCAGGGGGGGGGGGGAGGTGCGATTTTTTAATTTTTCGAGGGCCAAAAAAAAAAAATTTTAGCCAACTACCCCCTCCCCCCAGTGAGCAAATTATTGGCTGGCACAATTTTCAAATTTCAGCACACTAAATTTCAAATTGATTCCAAATTTGGGCCCCCACCCCTAAGAAATCCTGGATCCGCGCCTGCGTCATAAGGCTAGCTGTTTTCAATTGCTTTACCTCTTGCCTATCCATTTTTCTGTTTTGTTTTATGCGGTGAAAGAGTTACAATGTAGGTCCGCTTGTATCTGCCTATGTTAAACTACACCAATAAACATTTTCTTTCCCTTGTTTCCAATTATTTGTTTGGATACCTACTGCGGCTAGTTAACAGAGGGACAGAACCCCCCCCCCCCCAGCCGGGAATCGACATGTACTAGGGATACTTGCGTATCGGCATATGTCCTCTGCCAGTTGCATTTTTTAATTTGTTATTATCAATATTATAATTTATTAATTTCTTCTTCTTCGTGTTCTTCTTGTTCTTGTTCTTGTTCTTCTCCTTGTTCTTTTTCTTGTTCTTGTTGTTCTTGTTGTTCTTGTTTTTGTTCTTGTTCTTCTTGTTCTTGTTCTTCTTCTCCTTCGACTTGTTCTTCTTCTACTTTCTTCTTCTTCTTCTTCTTCGTGTTCTTCTTCTTCTTGTTCTTCTTCTCCTTTGTTTTCTTCTTCTTCCTCTCCTTTTCTTCCTCTTACTAATTATCATTATTGTCGTTATATTATTATCATAATTACTTATATTCTCATTACAGTATTATTTTAGAGAAGGGGGTCTTTCTTGGTCGTACCCACTTGTTAATGAAATGAATGTAAGGACAGTGTATTATGCACGATTTAAACATCATTTATTTATGTACAAAGTAATGACATACATAGGATCGACTTCGTCTCTATATCAAGGTGAACATCGAAATAAGGAAGTAGACACAAAACCTTTAATTATCAAATGGAAATAAGACCTTTGACAATGTGTCTAATAATACAACAGTGCAAGCTAATACAGATTTTAGGGTTCGTAAAGAATGAACTATTAATACCCGAGTCAAACCGACTCAAGACCGACGGATCCGCGGTCATTTTCGTAAATTCTTTTCAAGATTCAAGATTCAAGATTATTTTATTGGTCCATGCATGCAAACATTACATAGAAATTTTGCTTCCAATGGCTTTTTTGACAGTGAAAGTACAAATGATAGAAAATACAATATAACATTTAACAATAGAATACTATGTACATAAATATGGATAATTATTTATAGTGTGCATGTGCCCCTCAGTTTCCTATTGCCTACATTTAACATGCGTCATAAATTAAATTAAAATGTCTCATAATATAATATAATATTTCGCTTCAGCTCCCCCCCCCCCCCCCCATCCGCTAGCTCCCGATCCACAGACGGTTTTGGATTTTGCAGAAAATAACAGGAATAAATACATTTACATTCATATTTCATAATTATAATGCGAGATAAAATTACGACAACACTTCTACAGTAAAATGAACTCTTAACGATTGAAGAAATCAAGTTAACAATTTACCGTCACAATCGTATGAGTGTGTTGTTGGTCTGGTCATCGGTGTATTAAATGATGTGTAACAGACAAAGGTCCTCGAAAATTATCCCCATTTCAACCGAAGAATTAAGTTGTCTTGCCGCTTGCAAAAGATCACTTTAAACATACTACTTCCGTCAGAAATATAACATATTCACCTGTTTTATGAATTTAATGTCTCTTTTCACATTCTTTTATTTTGTAGGCGCTATGGTACTTCTTTTTGTTTTATCATCTTTATTATTATATCATTAATATAACCTTTGCCTTATTGTAACATTGCAATAGATAGGTTTACTATGCTTTCACTGATAATTTGATTAAACTCAAAAACATCGTCAAATTCATAAAAGTTATTATCCCTGGATACAGCGTAGATTTTAATAAAGACGAGCACTTCATCCTAGAATACCATGATAAATCAAACCCTTGTATTAAAGAGACCGATGTTATCACAACATCGTAGTACGAATGTTAGGAGACAAATATTTTATCAAATACATTCAGGGATTTCAATACATTGATAAGTTGCACTGCCCTCTGTTTACCATATTTACATTAGATTTCTAGGAACAACAACGTGGTTCAATCAGACATCCAAATACTCTGGGGCTTGATAACAATAAGTACTAAAAATAAGAATGAAGGCAAATTCCGGAAAATACTTATAAAAAATGTTAGACTATACATGTACTTCAGTCGATAACACTCTATGTTGAATGATAATAAAGATTAATACAATGATACAAAGCATAAAAGTATATTTTACATAGCGCATGTCATAAAAGAGATTTCTTTTTTTGTAAGTTCATAAAGATGTGTAACATTATACTAACAGATACTTTTTAACATGTTGAAAATTGACATGGTCTTGTAGTTTTGCATGTTTCATATTATTTTACTCTGTTTCTTCTGTTATTGCAACGCTGGTGGGAAGCATATTTCCACATTGTGGACGAAATAAATAAATATCTATCTAAATATGTAGTTGATTTTTTCCTCATGACTTGCCCTAGAACTAACGGTAAAAATTCTCAAAAGTGCCGAGAATTGTGATTAACAATTAGTATTATTTTTCAGTAAGAATAATACTACACCCGTAAAGTGATACGAATCATTAGAAAAAGGATACATATCATCATATTTATAAGACCCGTTTTTTCAAACAATACAAAAAACATTTTCTCAAAATCTATGTCCTTTAAAAACATCATATTACCATGAAAAAAAATCAAGTTAATGAAATGTATTATATGTAGAGTATATCCACCATATAACTAAGAAATAAAGGTGTATTATATGAATTTGAACATGATGTAGCATTTTGAAATCATAAAGAATGAATATTAAGTAAAATGATGGAAATTGTATAGGCACAGATCAATTCAACTTTAAGCAGATTAGAAGAAAGTAGTAACACGATGAGAGTAAACCTTATTTCTCTTTGGCCTATTATTAAAAGAAGAAAGAATTGTCATTGGAATTTTCTTGAAATCCTTACAAGACTATTACATTTTGCAATCTCTATATTTAAAATGAAGAGATAGATAGATAGATAGATAGAGAGAGAGAGAGAGAGAGAGAGAGAGAGAGATGGGTGAACATTATTCCTTAACCTGAAGCAAAACACCGCACGTAGCCACGGCGGTGCTGAGACCGAACAACCACATGAAGAAGCGATCGACCACGAACGCGATCCGCATCCATTCTCCCTTGATCTCTTCATCGATGATGGCGTCTTCTGAATGTTCGACGACTTGCTGAAGACAGGAGGCGATCTGGGACATGATAAAGCGGATACGTCCACGGCGATCAAGCTGAACGCACGTGCTCGATTGCGATGTCGGCAGGTTCGCGACATCGAGTTCGAGGAGCATCTCGTTGCTATGAAGACCGGCTTCAACGACCTCGGTGGATGAGCCACTACTTCCTGAAGCGTTCTCGAAGTTGATTTTGGGGATCTAAAATGAAATTCATAAGATTGTTACATCAAAGAGGGGTTGTATGACGAATATTATCCGAAAATGTTACGATTATATGAAAATTAGTCCTGTCCATAAATAATTTCAGCCTGTGGGACCAATATCTTAAGGACAAATATCCACAAGACTATACACTCAGGTGAAGATACTCTATTACGTAGGCAGTTGCTTTGGGATAGTTTCACAGGCGATATGAACTTGGGGAAATTTCCTCGGGATGATTGTCCGATGGAACAGATGGGACCACATTCTTTAAAAACTGCTAACACAGCATTCCATATAATTCTACACTTGTAAATGCAGTAGGTCTTTTCGGTAGTGTGAACACATGATTCCACTCTTTAAATAATCTACCATATTTATACTGTGGATATATTATTCCCTACTGAAACAGTATTCAATCCACAATTTCCTTTTAATATTTTAATATCTAGAACATAACCATTACCTTATCTTCGACATCCGGATTATGACAGTCACCCATGCACATGAACTTGGCCAGGTAATCGAGTGTGAATCGTCGGAACCAAGAGGGTGCCCTACCCACGTACGTCCCGCGGTGGTGTATGTAGAGCACGATTGCCGTGAGGACAGTTGAAGCGGACACGAGGACCATAGTGGTGATGTAATACTGGGCTGTTAAGGAAATAATGGACAAGGAGATTCCGTCGGTCGAAGGAAAGTTACATACACCATGATTTCGAAATATATACATGCAATTTAGCTTTGGAAACAAAGACAATCGAAAATTGAACCCAATAGCCTGAATATTCACTGCAACTTGCTTTTGCTTCGGTTAGAGTTTAGGTTGTTGTCAACAGCAGGGCATCGATCGTTTCAAGAAACCGTCAAAAGGACAAGTTCACCCACATCACAATAGGAATTTTTAGATTTGCACGTCGACACACTATACTGATATGCGTGTGACGTCCTTTTAAGGAAATGGCAGTGCCTTAAAAGGACATCACAGTGCCTTAAAATGACGTCACACGTAGCAGTCCACTATGTCGACGTGCAAATCTAAAAGTCCCTATTGAAACAAGAGTTGAATTTAATACACGCATTTCTGTGGGTTGTCGGGGAAATTTCTTGAACCGATGCCCAGACTGCCGTTACTCAGTGGGCTCCTATAGAAGCATACCATGCCAGTTAAGTTCCTATGATAGATAATCTGGAGGATCCCTCTGGTGAAACGCTTCATGACGTAGTTCTTTCAATAATGCTTATTGCAAACGATGCGTCATGAACGACGTAGGATTGCGTCAGTGACCCACATGCGTCAGGGCAGAGAGGCACCGTACAAAAAGTAAATGCCAACTGAATACTAATAGTTAAAGGGCTGTGTTCAATTACTGGCACATGTACTAATGCCCTTTGCAAACAAAGCGATATGTGGCTGACGTAGGATTGCGTCAGCGACTGGTGTGCTGTTTGGCGCGCATTGTGATCGCAATCGCAATGAAGTCGTACATTAATGCGAATTGTGGCCGCCAAATAAACAGCGCAAACTTTGAATAATTGAATTACTAGTGTATGCACCAATCACTAAAGAGGGTTCTAGGACACCTACATTGTACCCCTGGACATCCACCCCCCTGATAACCACCCCTGTTAACTACCCCCTAAGACAACTGCCCCCTAGGACAACTACCCCCTAGGGCAACCACCCTGTAGGACGACTTCTCCCTGGATAACTACCCCCGGAATACTACTCCCAGACAACTACCACTAGGACAACTACCCCCGGAAAACTACCACCAGACAACTACCCCCCAGACAACTACCCCCTACGACAACCATCCTCTAGGACAACTACCCTACACGTTGTTGTGTGGGGGAGGATAGTTGTCCGGGGGGGGGGGTAGTCATCCTAGAGGGTGGTTGCCCTAGGGGGTAGTTGTCCAAGGGGGTAGTCCGGGGGTCGGTGTCCAGGGGTAGGTATCCGGATACGCTTTTAGAGGCGTGATTATAAAGCGCAGGTATTAACGCAATAACAAAAGACGCCGTGTGTTCAACGGGCATAATTCAGGTACGACAAAATGCTCCTGTAACACTAATCCTGGACCCAACACTGTACTTGACCCAAACTTAATCCTAAACCTAACTTGAAATCATTTAATCCAAAAGCATAACTCTTCATATTATTGACGGAACAATGCCCAGATCAATTCTCGCCGGAGTAAAGTTGAATTCTTGATATCACGAATTACCATTGTTTATATCAAGAAATAGGAATAAATGTTAATACAGCTTGTCATAAATACGCAGCAATACGCAAGCCAAGCTGTGAAGCTTGGTACCTGACATCAGATCTAAGAAAGCGACTGGAAAGTTGTGAAGTTTGGTTCCTGAGAATGATGCTAAGAATTTCATGGACAGAAAGACTTTCTAATGATGAGGTATTTGCCATGGCAGGAACAAGACGAAAGCTTCTGAATAATATAAGAGGTCGACAGCTGAGCTTGTTGGGGCATGTTACACGGGAGAATGGTATGGAAAATCTTGCAGAGACTGGAAGAATAGAATTTTTGAATGTGGAATTGATGTTGGGGAGAATGAATTACTTCATAGAATATGGGATAGAGAGTTGTGGCACTCCATGGTCGCCAACGTCTCAGGATATGGCACATGGAAGAAGAAGAAGACGCAAGCCAAATGTGACTGAGGCATTACAAGCGTGAAGAACTCACCAATGAGGGGCACCACTTCGGATGTTGGCGGCATCGTCTCCGCGGCCAGGAGGAGGAAGACAGTGAGAGACAGGAGGATGGTGATGCAGAGGGTGAACTTCTCCCCGGTGTCAGCTGGCAGATAGAAGGTGAGGAGAGTCAGGGCAGACACCAAGATACAAGGCACCAGCATGTTGATGACGTAGAACAACGGCCTGGACAGATGGAAGAAGAATAGGTCCTGCGATAAACTGGTGCATGGGGATGTACGTAACAAAGGCATTATTTATCCACAAATACATGCCTACAAAATTAACATAACTATTGTATATTTATATAGTGCTGATGTACACCAATCTTAAAGCAGAGTAATAATACTATTAATTAAATAGACAATAATAAAACATCTGAACTAGGATAACCTTTTTTTCTTCTTACTATCTTGTCAGATAATTTTGGAATAGAACACCTCTTACAAAAATGGGATAACCCCTCTTGTTGGTACTTTTTTCATTATATTTAGATTTATTAGATTTCGTCCCCCTCCCCCTTCTAGAGAATCTAGATCCTCCACTAATATACGAAACTGGTGTCCTTCCATTACCTTCTCCTGATAATGAGCACGAAATCTAGTACGGAGAACGGGTACTTGCAGCAGCCATATTGGTGCAGGGTCCGGATCACGGGGAAATCTTCCAATTTCCATTCGCCGTTGACGAGAAAATTGCCAGTGTCCCCCGAGGCCGAGCGGTTCAGGAGATTCAGGTGCTCCGTGGTGTAGGCCCAGGATCCGAACTGCAGGGTGCACTCCTGCTTGTCGAAGGGGAAGTAGTTGATGTTGATCTTGCAGGAGCTGCGGAAGATAGCCGGAGCGAACCAGGTGACGATGCCATCGTTGGAAACGGCGGCGTTGGTCTTCATGGCTCCCTTAAAAGAGCTGTCTGCGCTGTCATGATATAAATACGAATAACCTTAAGTTTTGGTTGATTAATTGATGAATTATTTAACGTTTATGTTAACAAAGCGTAGCTTTTATGAACGTTTCAGGAGGCTTATCCAATATTTTGGATTATCCGAGAAGGTCTTGCAGTAAAGTAATTTGACCTACTTGGAACAGAAGGCACGTTAACAAATGCCGTGGTAAAACGCAGTATAATTATGTGAACAAGCGTTTACTGGGGCAGCTAGCGTGGCCAGCTGTATAAATAATATATTGTCCTATGACAGGGATATTGTTCTCAATAAGTATTGCACAATCAAAAAATAGAAACTTACTTGTTGTAGAGAAGGATGTCTGGTTTCCAGATGTTGGAAGAAGGGATGGTGATCTTGGTAATTCCGCCGTAATCATCGGGGTTCCATTTCAGATTGGGATCGCTCCAGCCCTAATGATACAGAACGGTGGAGGTTGTGAGAAAAGCAGAGAAAATGAGACATGAACGGGAGAGGTGTGGGGTGAAACCAAGCAAAAGATTTTTATTTTTTATTTTTATAAATCTTTTAAATAAAGCAATAGATAACGTTGAAGACAAGTGTGGGGTAAAATGTGCTGTTAGAGCTGAGTAAAGTTCATGTATGTAAAATTCTAAGCCCAGAGCAAAATAATAATGGCTTTCACATTGTAGATTATAAATATTAAAAATGTTTATATCATTATGTTAAATATGAAAATGTAAATTCATTCAAAAATCACATGGACATTTATGCTTGAAAAGATGATATAGAAATAAATCAATACAAAAATCATCAAAAGAGGCCTAACAGTATACGCTAAGGAAAACGAAGATGAGGACATATCAGGAAAACCTAAATATACCGACAGTCTTGCAAGAGCAAATAAAAACATCGAGAGAGAAAGGGAGAGAGATAGATAGATAGAGAGAGAGAGAGAGGGGGGGGGGGATGTGGTACGAAACCACACAAAGCACACACACACGCACGAAAAAGAAAACATCAGAAAACGTCATTTATTTTTAGAGAACAGCCGATGTTACAATAAACACATTTCTTACCTGTCTTAGCCACACATTAGTAGTAATGATTTGATTCCGTTCATCCTGACAAATAAAGGGGAAAATACAAATGAAAATGAAAAATGAAATCGTACGTTCCCGTTCCAATTTAAGCTGAAGTATTGGCATGTCAGTTATTGCTTTTTAAATCACACAATTCATCCTGTTTAATAGAAAACCTCTTTGTTGTGTTATGAAGGCATGGAACCTATGTCTAAAACTGAGTTGCCAGCATGACCTGAATCCCAAAACAAAATGTCAAGTTGTCGACACCATTTCAGCAAGATTAGATAAGGCCCCCTAATATGGTTTAGTGTATAATGATGTTAACTTAGAAATATGAACGAACAATAAAACACGTGAGTCTTAAAAATGTATGCCAACACATGTCAGGGGTAGTTGGGTACATAGGGACTTCTATCTCGTAATTTAGAGGGGTACACACTATCAAACAGGTTTTTAAGAAAACATGTTTTAAACTGGTTATGGCCCGGTCCCACTGGCCGACGGACACAAAACGTATGCATAAAGGACACAGCGGACGAGCAAAATTTCGGGGGTGGCTCCATCCGTTTTCATCCGCTCCAGAAATGGACAAAATTTGCGAAAACAGAACGGAAAATAACGGACGTGGGTAGTATGTAGCGGGGATGTTAAACGGATGTTCATCGAAAGCCTAGCGGATGAAAGCGGATGGAAGTGGACGACAGCTTTGAATACTTTATATACGAGATGCATACGCTTACATCCTCTCTATTTCCGTGCTACTAACGATGTATAGACGTTCCATGTACCTTATCTTTCCTCCCTCTTTCCGTTTTCAGCTGCAGCGGATGTGAGTTGCGAGGATGCCCAGAGGATGCAGAGAGGATACAGCGGACGTGTAACGGATGATAACGGACATAGAACGTTTGTTGCTCGTATTTGTCGCGGATTTACATCGTACACGGCGGAAGTTAATCCGTTCTAAAAGTTTCGTGCAGCTCAAAACTTTTTTCGCGGATGAAATCACAGTGGACGGATGCTCGACGGATAGAGCGGATGAAACACGTATGCAATGAGTACACAACGGATGCATAGCGTTTTCCAACGGATGGCAAGAGTTTTTTTACGTTTTACATCCTCTTTGCATCCGTAAGTGCAGTGGGACCGGGCCTTTTAGATAGAGCTAGAAAAGCCACAGGGTTTCGCTTGTCAACATTCTAGACGATGAGAAAGTAAATGATGATGATTAGAAAATTTGGAATGAGGTCTATAGTCTGGTACATTAACCTTCTTTCATTGATAACCAAACATTAAACGAGGGCGATTTCAATAGACGTGTGCGTCACCTATTGAATTCTGTGAACATGACAGTGACATATATAATAATTCGTACATGCTTACTATATAACTTGAACTAGAACTTGATATGCAATGCACTATATTATTGAAATAAGCTTTAAACAGAAGGTTGAGTTCTGGGAAGAGGTGAACACAAATTTGTGAGCGTTATCATTGTTATTATGCAAGTCATACAGTGGGTGAACGTCAGAGATAAAATGTTCCCTGAAAAGCATTTCTCTTAAAATACCTTAATATTATAAATATGGCATGCAACAGCATAAAAAACGGGACGGATTTTTTTCGCCACATGTTTGTGTAGTCCCATATATATTTCTGTGTACAGTGCTTGTAACTATACCGAGACGGGGCTGATTTTCTTATCATTTTGATGATTCCAGAACCTTGCAGTACGCACCAATATTTATATGCTAGATGATCAACCTTTTCTGATCGACTTCGCACTGTGTTTTTTTAACAATGCAATCGCATGACCAGAACTCAACTTTATTTGTAAGTTGAATTCTAAATATTATTACTCCTTCGGTGGAAAGTATTCAGGATTTACCATGTCGATGATCTGCCTGATGGCCATTCCATAGAGAACGTTGATACTTTGTGAGGCTCGCTCAACAGGTCGGATATCTTTAGAGTAGTTGGCAAACAGGTTCGTGAACAGGCGAAAAGTATCCGTAGTTTGAGTCTGTCCCGATACTCCTGTAAACAAGTAAATAAGTCATGGGTAAACAAGTAAATATACAAGCACGTCCTTACCTTAATAAATGGAATGGTTTTTTTTCATTTATTTATTTATTTGTTTTATTTAAACAGGGTAACTCTCTCAGTATTACTACTGATTTTCTGAGAGGCCCTGTACACAAAAAGCATTAAAAATACAGGAGATAACGAACAAAGTTAAATGACATATACATGATTTGATATGTATCAGGGTTATTTGTTTCCTTTGTTTATAGTTATTATATAACCCCATAATATACAACAGAACATATGACAAAGTGATATTTGTCCAGCTGATAAAAATATGAATTAATGCTTATACTATCTAATAAATCAATAATAATATAAACATATATAAAACATCAGGAATAAACTTTTGATTTGTATATGATATAGAAGATAACGCAAATTATGAGAGTGGAATATAGTAATAGGAGCCATTCTTGTTAAAATTATGACACTTAATACCAAACAATACATATAATCACAAACGAAATGTTCTCCAAGATATATTTACAAATGATTGTATGCACAGTTTCGCAAGGGAGGCTGATGCCTCTTGCCCAAATACTAAGCACACTGTTTTACCACAAAAAAATACCCCAAAAGAGAGATTTATTTAGCATCAGAATACATGCTAGAAGCCTAATTGAGGATATTCAAGCAACTTGTTAACTCGTTTCTCGCAATCAACCTGTTCCGATGTTTTGCGCGAAAGAGAAGTGATAAGATGTTATATATTCGGCCACGTCCCTGCCGAATATCAAGATATTCGGGCATCTTGCAGCCCAAAACCGTATATAGTGCTCCTAAATTTCGCAAGCTGCAAACGAGAACCCCCCCCCCCCAAAAAAAAAAAAAACAGGGAAATCTTCAATAAATATCTTTAAAATGGTATCTTATAATCATTGCATTAGACAACAAGAGGGGGTCAGTATCTTTACTCTCTTCCCGCCTCGTACACCTAGGCTTTATTGATGTAAGCTAGAAATTTGATTTGTTTTTAAAATTGACCGCTGACCACATTTCGTATATACAATCTCATTCATATCAGAAACTATGCACAAGTAATTAGTGTTTGATAGGCGGGTTTAATGAAATAACCACAATACTTTTGTGGTCATTTCAGAAGCAAATAATAAATTACTAATCTACAAGCAAAGACACATCATCCAAATATCCGGAATTACACGTCACGTCAAACCCCTTTATGTGTGTCCCCTTTACCACTTTTATGGTTAGGCCGGGGGCGGCGCAAAAATATTTTGTATGGGTTTCCAACTCTCTTGTTTTACTGCCTTTCCTATAGTCGCCCTGTCAAATTAACACTTCCATCAAAAAGAATTAAAGCGTAAATATATATTTTTTTAAAGTTACCTCCTCCTAGGGAATTTGTAATCCTATGCGGACTGTACTGAAAATATTTGTTTTTTGTGTGAAAATGAGCGTTTTATTTCATGTTATTTACTAAAGCTTAGGTTGTCCCCAAAAGACCACACCCCGAGCAAAGTTAACAAGTAATCGACTGAAGAAGGAACTCTCTATATAATTCCCGTTAATGAAAAAGAAATCTCACAATATTTTCTTGTGCTGTTATTATCATTTGGTATGATAACTCCTGTGTTTTAAAAAAAATATTCTACGTAGTATTACTTCTGTAAACAAAATATCGCCTAACTATAATGTAATATTAATGATTAGACTTACCAGCTCCGATGGCAATAAACGAAACCGCAATAAATACCACAATCTTCATCTTGGAAAACGATAATATCTCTCCGACTAAACACAAGAATTCGTAATAAAATGCACAAATCTGAGTAGTTTTATGAGCAAATTAGAAGTATATTATCTCTGTCAGCACCGCAAATGATTCCGTAGACGAACGGTCTACGGTGTTATAAAAAGCATACTCTGCCTTTAATTAAAAAACCCCACACCAATATGTAACTGGCTTATATATGTATATCGTGCATTTTACCATATCGATGGCCGTGGAAAGGATATAACTACCAAGAGAGCATTAATAAGCTCTGAACAAATTTAAACAAGGGGCAATTAAAATGACTAATCAATGGCGTTCGGCTGGCGTTGCTGACACATGTTTATGCTCTCAGAGGTGCCATGGTTTCAACACTTATTGATCTCCGTTAAAAGCTTCTCGACTCGTGCTAATGAAGCTGGAAAGTGTGCCAGTACTTTCTTGATAAGTTCGAGTATCAATGCATAATTTGTGAAAGATAATGCATGAAGTGATCACATCCGAGTTTTCATCAACCTTTGTTAAAGAAAATCTGGATTATTATGACCGAGGCTTTTAGAATCGCGAGCAAGCCGAGTTCATAATTACCAGCTCAATGTTTAAATCAATGCAATCAATAGGGTGTAACTCGTTAACAATCTGTTACATTGCGTTTGGAGTACATGCACATGCAATGGCAGTGACGGGACCTTCCGGTATACACCAAGAGGCCATTTGAAAGAAAGGGTAGAGACCACTCTCAAAATTCTGTTAAAACAATCATGGCTTTTATGGACTTAAAAAATGATCAGGCAATTCAAAAGTAACGATGTCGGCTTAGTGCTAGGAGGAGTAGCTTCTGTTCAATCCTAAGTGGGTCGTTGCTCACTCTCTTGCTTACCCCCCCCCCGTATAATACGACTTCCATTCCTGGTAGATCGTATATATTCCAGTGCGGTGTGCTTCGGCGCAGACAGAGGTTGCCGATAGGATATTCTTGCTAAAATATATCGGAAACCATGGACGGAGAATAGCTAGCACATGTATCATTTGATACAAGTGGGCAATCTTCAGTCATATTCAATAAACGTCATTCTATTTAGTTTTCCCTTAAAGGAGAATTAATTAGGACTAGAAAAATAGCATCACATAAATTCTGCTATTTGCATTTGTGTATGATACGACAAATATTCTTAGGGGCCATCTTCATGAAAAGCTGATAAAACTGGTCGATCGTGCTAAAAAAATACATGTTTTTGTTTCATTATTAACATGGTGGTGAGCTCTAATGAAAAAAATAATAATCTCAATTCAATGATGCATGTAATTCGATGTGGTAAGCTATCACAATATGATTATGAATATGCTCCAACGAGCTGAGCTAATGCATCCTTTGATACTGAAAGTCCATTTAATTTTCTCACGCCACATGACTTTGTATAAATCCTAACGGGCTTGGGACGAATGCGATTTCATTTTCACGATCAATTGCATACTGTAATATTGATAATTTGTTTGAGCTAAATCATGTAAGCTGTCACTCAAGAAAAGAAATTTAATGTTGAGTTGATTGTACTTCTTATATATCATTTAAATCTGACAATTAAAAAACATACACAATAATTTAGGATCTTTTAGATGAGATATTACAGATATTTTTCAGTGTATTTGTTATGAATAATAGTAACTGTAATTCTCACTTTAACCACATATTAGATATTTCGTTCTTATTTCTTCACTATGTATTGAAGCTTCCAACCAACAATAGACATTCCCTTAGTACCACGGAATAAATTGTTTCTTGGATTTAATGAAATTCTCTTAAGGAGCTTTTTGCTTCACTTTGTAATTACGTTTGAAAAAAAAATGATAAACCCCATGTTTTAATCTCGTGCATGTCATCTACGTCATAAGGCTAGCTGTTTTCAATTGCTATACCTCTTGCCTATCCATTTTTCTGTTTTGTTTTAAGCGGTGAAATCGTTATAATGTAGGTCTGCTTGTATCTGCCTATGTTAAACTACAACAGTAAATATTTTCTTTCCCTTGATTCCAATTATTTGTTTGGATACCTACTGAGGCCTATACAAAAACTAATTAACAGAGGGACAAAACCCCCGCAGGCGGGAATCGAAATGTACAAGGAATACTCGCTTGTCGTATGTCCTTAGCCAGTTGAATTTTTAAATTTGTTATTATCATTTTTATTTGTTGTTGTTATTATTATGAATGTTGTTGTTGTTCTTCTTTTCTTATCCTTGCTTATTCTCCTTCTTCTTCTTCTCTTACTTCTTCTTCTTCTTCTTCTTCTTCTTCTTCTTCTTCTTCTTCTTCTTCTTCTTCTTCTTCCTATTATTATTACTGTCTTCTTCTTCTTCCTCTTGTTCTTCTTCTCCTTTCTTGTTCTTGTTCTTGTTCTTCTTCTACTTCTTCTTGTTCTTGTTCTTGTTCTTGTTCTTGTTCTTGTTCTTGTTCTTGTTCTTGTTCTTGTTCTTGTTCTTCTTCTTCTACTTCTTATTCTTCTTCTTCTTCTTCCTATTATTATTACTGTCTTCTTTTTCTTCCTCTTTTCTTCTTCTCCTTTCTTCTTCTTCATCTTCTTCTTCCTAATAATTATTATAGTATTATTATAATGAATTATTAAGTCATTACAGAAAGTTTTTTTTAAGGGGAGGGGGCTGAAAGGGGGGGGGGTCTTTCTTGATATTACCTTCTTGCTCCCGGTGTCTCTCTCTCTCTCTCTTTTTTTTTTTTTTTTTTTTTTTTTTTTTACAAACCTTGGTTTGTAAAAACAAGACAAGATACAAGATACAAGATAATTTATTTGGTCTTTGCAAACAAGTTACATAGGAAATTGTTTTCCGCTGGCGTTACAGTCATATTGGGACAACTATAAGTCTGTTCGAAATGCAACATTGAAACTTTTGAACAAAGCTCGTGGAAAATATCACAGAGATCTGATCATGGAAAATAAGGATAATCAAAACAAGTTATTCAATGTTGTCAAGTCTCTATTGAACATGTCTAATAAACAACCCCTGATACCTTGTAGTACTGATAAACATAAGTTTGTGAATGACCTAGGTGATTATTTTCGTGACAAAGTCGTGAAAATCCACAAGAATATTGAAACTAGATTAGATGCAATGAATGAACCCAGGACCTATTCTCCATTAGCAACTTACCATGATGTCGATGTTTTGAGCAATTTCAAACCTCTTTCTGAGCACCAAGTTGAAAAACTTATACTTAACCTCAGTAAGAAGTCATGCTCTTTAGATCCTATGCCCACGAAACTTCTTCTACAATGTATCGACATATTAATTCCTGTGTTCACATCATTGATTAATCTTTCTCTCTTGACTGGTCATTTTCCCATGCAATGGAAAAATGCCCTCATCACACCTTTATTGAAAAAACCTGGTCTTGACGCAGATTTTAAGAACTTAAGACCTATCAGCAATCTGAAATATATATCGAAGTTGGTTGAGGGTGCTGCTACCCAGCAAATTATGGATCACCTCAATAACAACTCACTTTTGCCATGTACTCAGTCTGCATATAGACAATTCCATAGTACTGAAACATGCACTGCTAAAAAAAGAGTGATCTATTGATGGCTATGGATTCCCAGAATGTCACTCTTTTACTGTTATTAGATCTAAGTAGTGCATTCGACACCATAGATCATTCTTGCTTATTAGAAACTTTAAAGACCTGTTTTGGCATAGATGGTAGTGTTCTTGAATGGATAGAGTCGTATTTGGCGAATAGATATCAGAAGGTCAAAATAGACGATGTGATCTCTGATGATTTGCCAGTGCCTTTCGGAGTTCCACAAGGTTCTCGGCTGGGTCCTTTGTTATTTACTCTGTACACTGCTAATCTCATTTCAAATGTTCGAACAAATTTCCCCGAGATATCATGCCACTGCTATGCAGATGACACACAGCTGTATGTATCATTCAGACCTGATGAACATGCTAAAGAGCGATGTGTCTCACTCCTAGAAACATGTGTTGACTATGTACGTGGATGGATGTTGCAAAATAGGCTCATGCTTAATGATGGTAAAACTGAATTAATGATCATTGGCACACCTAAACAGACATCCAAAATCAACTTAAACAGTGTATCAATTGGAGACTCTGTAATAGAACCATCTGTTAGTGCAAGAAATCTTGGAGTACAGTTCGATTCGAATTTGAATATGAGAGAGCACATCACAAATGTCTGTAAATCAGCATACTACATGATCTATAATCTCAGACGTATTCGTAAATATTTAGATAAGGACATTACGAAAGACATTGTACATGCATGTATCACCAATAAGCTGGACTATTGTAATGGTCTACTGTATGGGATCCCTGACTGTCAAATAGTGAGATTGCAACGGGTTCAAAACACTTGTGCAAGGCTGATCTGTGGTTGTTCTAAATTCACACGGATCACCCCAATTTTAAGAAATCTACATTGGGTACCAGTATATAAAGCACTTCTTGGTCAAGCTCCCACTTATATCAAAGAACTGTTGAATTTCAAACCTAATCAACACAATCGCAACTTGCGCAGTTCCCGAGATACTTTGTTGCTACAGATTCCATCTATCAAAACAAAAATAACGCTAGGTGATCGAGCATTTGCTTGTGCAGCCCCAAAACTCTGGAATAACTTGCCATTTGAAGTCAGGAAATCACCATCTGTAAACGTCTTTAAGTCAAAACTGAAAACACTTCTTTTTAATTAACTGTACCGTAAATCTAAGCATATCAGGAGCTCTTGTAGCGCAGTAGAATATATACCTAATGTTGGATAGTTTCTGCGCTTTATAAATGTACTATTATTATTATTATTATTATTATTATATTCAACAAAATACATAATTACAAGAAATAAATACATCACGTTTATAGAATGAAATAGATGAAAAGGGAACAAATACATGCAAAAGATAATGAAGCAACAAAAATGGTCATTGGTCATTGGTATTTCAAATCATACAATTAATTAATTTCCGACGCAGAAGTTTAACGTTTAACCTGTGAGTTGAATTTATGAACAGAGTCGGGTACAAATGAATATCTGAATCGTGAAAGCCGGGTTGGGGTGGGGCGAAGTCGGATACCAGAACGTTTAAATGAATAAAATAAATGAAGTGGATGGGTATTGTCTTTCATGATTGCACAGACCTTATGAACATTTTGCTCAGTACAATGAGACTCAACAGAAGCTAATTCTACCCCTTTCTAACCCTTTCTGTAGCGACGCGTCATATGACGCACGAAAACCTAGGTTTGTCGACAAGATAGGTTTGTCGACAAACCTCCTTTGTGAATTCGGGCCATTGTGTGTACTTTGTTGTCTGACGAATAAAACTTGAACTTGTTACATAATAATCTCAGGATCATTACCTCCCCCCCAAAAAAAAAAATCTGGTTAGAAATACACCCCTCTCATCTCATTGGGTTACAATGACTTGACTTCTCTCTCACCCGGACACGTCCATTTTTGTCAACAAATTAATCAATAAACTGGGCAAGCTATTAAATAGTCTGTATTCCTTTTAATCTGTGCCTGTATTGATTTTAAACCTCCCCTACTCCACCCGACGTGACTAAAAATCGATTGTACAGTCACCCCTCCGTGGTCCCTTTCAGAAATGTATTCGTATCAGTTGCCTTTTTTTATGTGTAGTGAAATTGAAAGCAAACGAAATTACTTTGTAGAGGAAAGTGAATTTAATAGAGAAAATACCTTGCAAAATATGGACTTATTATAGGATCCATGATTGTATGGTTTTACCAGGCTAGTTGTGTTCATGTTTTCCTGTAGAATTATTTATTTAAGGTACAAAATCGCAGGCCACTTTTATCACTAATTCATGTCGAGGCGATATTTATTTGGTTACCATCTATTAAAAGAATTGTAGTAAAGTACTGTATATTATTTTGGAGTGGAAGGAATGTGCGTGTAATGATGTGTACATGTACGTGCGTATGGGAGAGAGAGAGAGAGAGAGAGAGAGAGAGCAAGAGAGAGAGCAAGAGAGAGAGAGAGGAGAAGAAGAAGAGAGAGAGAAAGAGAGGGAGAGAGAGAGAGAGAAAGAGAGAGAGAGAAGGGGGAGGAGAATAAGAGAGAGAGAAAGAGAAAGAGAGAGAGATAAAGAGAGAGAGAGAGAGAGAGAGAGAGAAGGGGGAGGAGAATAAGAGAGAGAGAGAAAGAGAGAGAGAGAGAGACAGTGGCAAATGCCAGATTTTCTGACGGGGGGGGGGGGGGGGGGGTGGGGGTATAGCTCGCAAAAAAAAGGTTACAGGTTGCAGAAAATCTTAGCCATATTAGAGGGCACCTTTTCATTGCACATTTTGTGTATACTTCAGCTATTTCACAATGAGTTTTGCCGGGGGGGGGGGGGTAAGGGGCCTCAACGATTATCGAATCATTGATCACTTGTCTCCAAGATAAGCCGCAACCTTTCAAGTTAGATTTCAAGAATGTAAAAATAAACCCTTCCCATCCCCTCATATGCTGCATGAATGCCTGCATGAATGATATCGATTTTTCTAAAGTACACACCCTACAATCCCTTCTCTGTCACCACCTTACAAACCCTGTGCCATTTTGTTGTTCGTGGATACACGCATGCGCAAATACCAACTCGGCACGCGCTGGCATCCAAAACTCCAGAGTATCGATTTACCACGATCTCTAGTTAAAAATTTGTTCACCCATCATCCGGTGATTTCGTATAACACGAAACGTTAACTTTCTGCATCATCTCTCGTAAACGAGCTGCCTTTCTATTGTCTTTCTTTTAATAAACACCATTTATACCCAGTGGGAAATATTCAGCGAAAGAGAATCGTATCGTCTGCGTAAGAAACTCAAATTTGATGATACAACAACGATTCGACGGGTGACTAATATTTGATGAAAGGACGAGCACTAATACCAATGGCGTCTCAAGTGATTCTCCTATGCATGTTAGTATGCTTTGGCGGTAAGTACATTTTTTTAGATCCAATTAAATATGATGTTACTTGAAAATCTTAATAGTGGTCTGATATACCATGATATTTATAGAACAAAATATAATTTGCGTGAAAGGTATTTTGAGGTATTTCGATTTTTCCAACACGCATCACATAGGCAAAGTCTATACTATAAAGAAAGACTGAAACATAAGGAAGTTTACTTGATTGATGCTCATGGAGGTTTATATATAAAGCATAATTAGGTAAAGACGGTGTTGATAACTATATAAATTCAAGAATACAAATGTTTCGAATTGCGAAGAGAGGATTTGAAAAACAAACAAAATGAAATTGATGATTCGAAATGGATGCGAAAGAGAGAAGCCTGTGCAAATACATTTTTTTTCCATTTAGGTCGTAGGCTCACACCTTTGTCTACACTATTCATGTGACCGAATTTCGAAGACGAGAATAGATATGAAAATAAATGTTGGCCCGTCCATACCCATGTGCGTAATGTTTTCCCTTATTACATTATGTTTTACCCCTAAATGTGGCAAATTGGGAATGTGTCGTTTCGTTATGCTAAATAGGGACGATGGGGTTACTTACATATATAAATATGATAATTGTACAAGTGTATCGTGAAAGAACATACAATATACAGAAAGGCATAAATTTCTTCATTGAAATGTTCCCAAAAGCTCTTGGACCATTTTTGAGAAATTAAAATCTGATACAAATACACTGTCACTCGATACACAAGACTGCCACAAAGGTACAACGTCAAGTAATTTTTTTCAAGCTAAACATATAAGCATTTACTTCGGCTTTATCACATTCATGCGCCTCAATACTGATCTAATCCCAATTGTTTCCAAGCCTTTATAGTTTTGGTATCGTTTGTTAATCCGTATATATTAATTGACCTCTGCTAAATCTTTGATCTGTATTTTATCTCAACTAATCTGCTGTATGAGCTCAAGCAAAGTTGAGATTGAGCTAAACATTACTGGAGGAATAATTCAAGCTTCTCTTAAATACCTATTAATCGTTTTAATTTTCAGTTGAGCCTTTCTTGTACAATAGCATGTTTTTCACAGTGTTTCATTCTGGTAAAAACGTAGTTCTTTTTTAATCAATTTATATTTGTGAGAAAGCGGTAGTCTAGAGGTGAATACTGTGAATAAATACGAGAAACAATCAAATTACGTATATATTTTTAAATAAATAAACGAATAAATAAATAAATAGATAAATAAATAGATAAATAGATAAATAAATAAATAGATAAATAAATAGATAAATAAATAAATAAATAAATAAATAAATAAATACATAAATAAATAGATAGATACATAAATAAATGAATAAATGAATGAATAAATAAAATAAGAGAAGTAAACAGCACCGTATTTACAGGTATACATATTTTCAAATAATAACAATGTCTTATACTTGTACAGGACTTTTCCAAAAATATCTTCTTTAATGCAATTAGGCTTATAAATGTCGTTGTAATTACTAGAAGATGAAAATCACGAAATATCCAACACAAACACAATCCAGGGTAATTTATGTCTCGGACCTACGTTTATCATGCAGTGAAGGTGCGCAGACTATACTATTACGGTTAAGGTTATTATGGCTATGGACATACGACACGCGAGTATCCCTTGAACATAAGTATAATAATAATAATATTCCGCTTAATACATCTACAAGGTCTCTAAGCGCTTTACAGATATACTATTACCCCGGTCATCAGATTCGATACTTGCCCGCACATACTGTGTGCACCAAGTAAACATTGCATATCCCCCTTTAATTTTTCTCTTAAGGCCACCCCCATTTTATATCATAACCCGTATTTGTTACCCACGTCCTAATCGTTCTCTCCGTGGCTAAGCTACTATTCACCTACACAATATATTCCTTTCATAAATTCCGACGATCCAAGTTCTGAATCATTATGCAGGCTTTAATGACGCAGGCCGTTATAGCAATACATGTTGATTTTACTAATGGATCGCGATCACACAATGATGATTAAATCAACTCATGCGGTAAAAATCGTCCCATTAACTTGCTATTTTTAAAAAATCATAATGCAAATTCCACCGTCATCTGCTCCTCTAGTGGTATTCCCCTTTCTACATCACGCTGTCGGTATTTCCGTGCTGACTCGATCCTTCCCAGCACTGTCTCTCCTTTCCTTCTTTTAATCCTTCCTCCCATCATCCTAAGTCGTCGCCTCACCGCTAAAAGGACATTGCAGCCATTGCCAGTACATGGCATTAGTGTATTTTTTTCGCAGTAAGCCGACGGTCCATATTTAATTCGACAGCAATGGGCTACCGCTCATAAATTGCTATGACAGACATGCAAGGTCATTTTTGATTTTTTTTTCCCCTTTAATATATCGATACATTTGATGGTAGGGATCTCTTTATGGTGATTATGGTATAGATGTGTTGCCGTAATGAATTTTCATTTATAAAGAGATATTGTCAATCCGTCAGCTGTGAACTTATTATTACAGTAATAACATTGATGATATTAATAATAATGCATATACTGTTCCTACAAGTCGAATGCATGGAACCCAATGCTAATTGTTGTAATGCACACAGTGTCATAAGAATAACTAATTGCACATCAAGGACACCATATATTAGAAGTCTGACGTAGATGTATTCCCAAGTATGATGTCACAAATAGGCTGACAACGGCGCCAATTTACAAAGTATCATGAACAAATGGACCGTTTTCTGATTTTATTTTCTTCTTCAACGAACATGTGTCATAGATTTTGCTGCGTTACTTCTCCCCATTTCCTTGTTTATATTGATGGGACTTGGTAACATTGTTCAGATGAGAGAAAATGGTGTTAAGGTAGTGACCTCAATGCTCGGTGTACAAGTTAAAGATAATCTGAAAGTTTGAGCGAAAACAAGCCATTATTAGTGATAAAAATAGGGAAAAACTGATCTGATCGATTCCTTAATTTTCCCAACTATATTATTACAATTTAATTACATTTTAGGTGAATGTAAATCGTCACAAAGCAATGAAATGACCCCGTATACCATTGTTAATATTTAAGTGTTGACAGATTTTTAAAAGCCTGTATTATCTCTTTTTTCATGGAAAAAAGGTTGGGAAAAAACAAAAAAAATTGTTGGGATAATTTACTGTTAGAGGGTGTTGCACAGTGACGCCTTCCAAGCAAACCGTAAATATCTTTCTGGTTTGAGAACTTTTTCAGGATTTTGTGCATGTTAGAGGGTTAGTACAGTAGATGGAATATAACAAGTAACATTTCATACACAAACTATGCACTTTTTTCAACAATGTTACCGAGTGACATTAATGATCAATGGTGATTTTCTTTGTATAAATATTGTTGATCTTTTTATGTATTTGAATTTCGTGGCCCCTTTTGATAAGTTCTGCTTTCTCCGGGGTCACAAAACTATCATTGTGGTCTGTTAAATTTTTAATGTAATTTATTTTGATTGTATGTATATTTTGATGGTCGAATAAATAAATGAATTGAATTAAATTGAATTAAACGGTACAGATAACCATGGATCGTATTTTTGTTGATTAAATGATGATTACAAATAATCGGGTGATTCATCGACTGGGTCGTCTGCTAAGATTGAATGGTAAATAATTGAAACAATAATTTCACTTGACAGATATCTCTCAAGTCTGAAATTAATAACTAATTCTTACCTCAAGTTCGTTTAACAAAAACACTTCGAAAACAGAAATACAAAACAGAGTTTTTTTTTTAGATGAACGTTGAACACTACACGCTGAATAATAATAATAATAATCCGGTTTTTTAGGGAATACATTAATGTTATAGCAGTGAAAAAAGGAAGATATCAGAGACGTGCTTTGAAGAAAGGTATAGCAGCGCCAATTATAAGCATAATTATATACCACGTTGTAAGCAATGGCCATATAACGTGCTTTGCATACAAGCTTGAATCCGATAATTAAGAACCCTCGACATTCACGAGATTGGCAATACTGATCAATTAATGTCATGTCTCGGTAATAATGTTAATAATGATATAGGATTTTTGTATAGCGCTCTTCTTTGTCAGACTTGACACTCCTAGCGCTCATAATTTTCAACATTAGTACTATGTGCATTGCATCAGGGATGTGATAGAGAAGGAGTGTAATCAAGCAGCTGACCTTTGACCCCATGCTCCAAACCGCCGACAAATTATGCGCTAATCTGCGACTGTTGACCAGTGGTGATCGAGATAAAGGAGCGCTAAAATATCAGGATTTAATATTCCTACATCATAAAATGGTATCTCAGCAAATGTTCGCTGTCCCTTTCAGTGATTTCTCATCAATTGTTGAATGTGTAATAAGTTGAAACAAACTTTTATAATTTCATATTTTTTTCCAACTGCAAAAATTAAAAACAGCATGCACAAGCACGCATTAGCAAACTTAAAGTTAACGAAGATTATAAATCGTTGATTAAATGACGGGACATCAAAACATGCAAAAATAATCGGATTACCCTAAAATACTGAGTTTTTGTCAGGATCTAATTTTTATGTTACCAACTCTGGCACACAAAATAAAGGAAGGGCGGAGTACTAAATTTGAAAAATTGTTTGATGCACTACATTCCCAATACAATCCCCGTATAAATTTTTATAATTTATACCGAAATTTTGCCGGTAATGTAATAAATGTGAAATTGGTGCCTGGCCTCTGAAAGCAGTTGAAGAGCGGCTCGGAGCATGGAACTCCAAGGCCAAGTGGAATGTTACGCATCCCATTGTTACGCTTTAAAACTTACGCATGCGTTTGAATAAATTACAAGAGTATCCACTCCTTTTACTAGCCCTGTTTTTAGTTAATTCCTGCAGCAGTAGATACCTCATGTATATTGCACTTACACCATTAGTTGTCTACACCCTCTTACCCGGACCAACTTGTCATGATTAAGTTAACACGACCTTCCACCGACCAGCGTAATTTACGGAAGTGGTGGCGCCCGCAGTAGTCGACCTCAACCCACCTTCCGCATCTACATGTAGATCGTGCGAAATCTACTTTCATTTTTGATTGTAACAAACAACCCTCGTAAAAGGTCACATATACTCCCGAGTGTAAGTGAGAGCATCCACACGGTCAACTTACGCCACCCTCTAGTCGTGTTAGCGAGTTACTCCTCAATAAATCCAGGAGTAAATAGGTCGGGGTAAAGGTAGGCGTAGTTAACACGACCATTACATCTACCTCACCATATTTACCCCAACTAGCTATTAAAGATAAACTTGAGTTCTGGTAAAAAAAAAAGAAGATGAATTCTCACATAATCTAACGAAACTTACACTGAATGTTCAAGATTACAAATAAATGTCATGTGCCAAACAATTTTGGAAGAAAATGTATACTGGCTGAGTAATGAGCATAAAAAGATAAGGAAATCAGGGTAGTACTAGCCTCGACACCATGTGTGTTGTCCTATATACATCTTTCTGTGTAAGTGATTGTTACTTTACCAAGGATCTGCCAAATTTATGATGATTTTGATGACTCCAGAACCTTGCATTACACACCATTACTTACATGCTATATGATCAACTTTTCTGATCCATTCCACATCTTTTTTTTTAACAATGCAATCGCATTACCAGAACTCAAGTTTATCTTTAACTCGACCTTTACCCAGGGGTAAATTGCCTCTGTCTGAACAAGACTTCTATCATCTCCCAGATTGCATGAATAAAACAAATGTATTGTACATGTACATTTCGTGATTGCCGTAATAGTTTCTGTCACAGTAAATGTTATGAAATATATACATCACGCAGGTAGTAATGATGAAAATAAATGAATTTCGAGATGGCAATAAATGATTGGAATGTACATTGACATTTCAACGCCATTGCCAGACGTGTTCTATCACTAATTGCATCGCCTCCGGAAAATGACAAAATTATGAACCCCATTGATTGGACTAGATTTGTTCGTTCTTCAATTTTGTTGGTACGATGCGCCACACGTTTAGTACTTTTAATAAAAAGAATATTATACTGTGGATATAATTATTGGCGTATATTTAATTATCGTAGTAGCACATGGTCTGCTAAAACATTTTCATGGTGAAATGATTAAAGTGATGCCATTAGAAGCTCTTTAAATCGTGAATAAAAATCCCCTTCTCTTTCGAAAGTGGATTTAAACCCTGAAGAATACTTAGTAAAAAAACGGCCAATAATAATTATGATAATAATACACGTAGCTATATATATATATATATATATATATATATATAGCTCATAAGTCATAAAATTATAGCGAGTATATTCATCCCAAGAGGTGCTTACAGCACATGCAAAGTTATAAAATTACATTGCGTCCTTGAAAGCATTCGGTAAATTACTTCCTTTTGTTACCTAATTTAGATAATATTCCATTTTGTGTAGCCATACTATTACATCGAGTGTGAATGAGTTGATAGAAAATGGTTGGACATACAATTACCTTCATATGAGGTATTTTGTCTACCCAACATAGTACAGATCATCAGTACATTCACATTGAATCCATTCTTGGTTTTAAGTGGCAGACCGTATTCCATTAGTGATCACTCCATAATATAGACCAGATGCAATCATCGGATTACTTGCAGAGACATTACATAACAATTTAATTATTGAAATCGATGTACTATCACGTGGAAAGTACATTAATCTCGGCACTTCTTTGCTACACGATAATCAATATAACACTGGAGTGTTTCCGTACCACCGGAGAGTAAAGCCACTTTCACACTGTAAAACACTAAACAGCAAACGAAGAAAAGAACATATAGAGACCCAAACAAAACACTGCAGCAACATAAACATGGTCATTTTAGTCATGTTAATTGACCAACTACCGACGAGACCGACATTGACAGAAGGGTTAAACTCGACCGACAGCTTACAGGATCAACACTTCAGAAAAGTATCAAATGATTATAACAAACAAGAAAAACAAGGTTGTTAGCCAACGAGAAAGACAAAAGAAAGAAAGAAATAAGGCAACTAAGAAAAATGCGGTCTCTTGGGCTCTCAAACAGTGCAAAACCAACATTGTTAGACGGTTTCGAGGGCTGTCGGTCTAAAGGCGGCTTATCGCGTCGTGTGTGAACGAGGCTATTGAGATTGGTCTGCTTTTGGCGCCTCTGTAATCATTGGTTAAGCGTTGATTGATAATTGAGTCAACATACAACTGTCCCTATACTATTCACTTTTGATTCATTCGAATGACGTCTCGATTTAAAGTAGTGCACAGGGAATGGTCGAAAAGGGAGAAAACACTATCATGGTAATGATGCTATATCGTCCAATGATGAATGTTATCGTTATTTCAAGATTTAAAGGGATAACTGGAAAAGATAGGCTTGCTGGCGTACTCATTTAATTTTTTTATTTAAAGGGGATGGCTGACAAAGTGAAACTAACTGAGCAAGAGTAGTTTACTCCCCTTGGCCGAAAAAAACAAACAATACTTATCAAACCTCTAAATATCCATTATTGTTGCTGGATTTAACGGAGGTAAATGAAATGCGCTATGTTCAGAGGTTTAAAGATAAAGGTGAGTTTTGGTAAAAAAGAAAGAAAATGAATTTTCACAGAATCAAACGAAATTTACACTGAATGTTCAAGAATACAAATAAATGTCACGTGCCGAACAATTTTGGTAAAAAATGTATACTGGCTGAGTAATGAGCATAGAAAGATTAGGAAATCAAGTTATAGTAGCCCCGACACCATTCGTGTAATACCATATACATCTTTCTGTGTACAGTGCTTGTTACTTTACCAAGACTGGGCCAAATTTATTATGATTTTGATGACTCCAAAACTTTGCAGTACACACCAATACTTACATGCTACATGAACAGTCTTTCTTAATTCTACAAACTATAATCCATTTATCCGCAGGTGTCTACGGAACGCAAGACGAATACCGGCTCTTAAACGACATGTTTGCCAACTATAGCAACATCATTAGACCAGTAGAAAGGTCAGCAGACCCCATTGACGTGTTAATCGGAGCAGCCATACAACAGATCATTGATATGGTAAAGGATTAGGGGCATAACCAGAAATTAATTGGGGTAGAGTTAAGAGTCATCTAGAGAGTATGTACCCACTGCGAGTTAAATTCATTGATTTTATTGTTGGGGTTGTATCACGTCTCCAACCTACACGAGATACGCCTTCGACAAAGAGGGGTTGGGGCTGGATGTTATACCATCCACTTAAAAAATTATTTTCCAAACAAATTCCAGACCTCTTTTAAGATACCTTTGAGGCACTTTTAAAACAATATGACCAATTATTTTTCAATGATTTGGCCATACACTCTTTACATTAAGTGTTAACAAATTTCCTGGGCAGTATAGATATATCTATTGTTTTTTTTTTTTGGGGGGGGGGGGGAGTGGAGGGGAGTCGCTGGAAAGGTACATGGGTCGCCTAGTCTCATAAGATTTATTGCAATGACAATGACAATGACAACATTTGATATAAACTCCTGTATACGGCAATGTAACAAATAATGTTTGTCTTTTTCATGTTTAGGACGAGAAAAATCAAGTCATCACTCTTAATTTATGGATGCGAATGGTAAGTGATTTCGATATTAATTTTACATGAAGAAAAGGAAGAAGAAGATGAAGAAGAAGAAGAGGAAGAAGAAAAAGAAGAAGAAAAAGAAGAAGAAGAAGAAGAAGAAGAAGAAGAAGAAGAAGAAGAAGAAGAAGAAGAAGAAGAAGAAGAAGAAAAAAGAAAAAGAAAAAGAAAAAGAAGGAGAAGACAAAGAAGAAGAAAAAGAAGAATAAAAGAAGAGGAGGAAGAAGAGGAAGAAAAATATTCTCAGTGAAACGAACAATAATAACAATTTTAGTCTGTCTTTTATCTTCTCTCCTTCACCAGTTTATACATTATCATTTGAGTTGAGTTAGTATATAAAAAGTATCGTTCCTGACCTCACGCTATGTAATAATGCTTTTTCTTTTATCACACGAAGTTCAAAAGAATTTCAAACACATTTTCTTTGTTTACATGATGATTTCGATCACTCTGATCACGAGCATTATTATACAATCTGCAGAAACTGATATCCAAAGCATTTCTTATTCATACAGCAATGGACGGACAGTAACTTAAAATGGAATCCAGCTGACTATGGGGATACTACAGTCCTTATTGTACCCATAGAAACAATATGGAGGCCAGACATTGTTCTATTTACAAAGTAAGCATGATTTTTAGTCGTTTTAAATCCATATTTGAAGGGAGAGCAAGAGAGATATATTCTATTCATTAAGCGATAAATCAATGTAATAATCATGGCTTAGATCAATATCAAGCGCATTCGAATCTTGATAAAAGTAATTCAATTTAGTAAACTTCAATTTATTGATTTAAAACCACCGGTAGGATGATCATCAGGTACGAAATGAAAAGAACACTAAACACCCGATCCAAAATAGTTGAATCATAAAATAAATGAGGCAAACTCCTGTCGACAGTTATGTTGAAGAGTTTGTTTGATCAAGTAATACTACATAAGGAAGAAAAAACTCGATGAAATTATGTCGGAAATTCTTTCTTCATTATGTTCGTCCTTTTTTACTCTGTTTTACGAAACATTTTCAGACTGCGTCTGTCTGCTTTGACTGTTATCTAGCAAGCAATCTTTTATCAATGTGTTTAAAGTTCACTGACAATGCTGACTGGGTCCGTCGTAACTAATCTCTGCTTTTTCCCCGTCCTTGCCTTGACAGTGCCGACAGCAGCTTTAACGGAATGATGATGACCAGTGCCTCCATCTCTCACGATGGCATCGTCCGGTGGAACGCACCGGCCATCTACCAGAGCACATGTAAAATAGACATCACTTACTTCCCTTTTGATGAGCAGCACTGCAGCCTAAAATTCGGGTCCTGGGCCTACCACGGGTTCCAGATCGACCTCAAGAACAGGACCACGAGCGGCGACATCTCCGCCTACATCGACAACGGCGAGTGGACTCTCGTGGGCATGCCTGTCAAGAGGAACCTGTTATTTTACAATTGCTGCCCAGAGCCTTATCCTGATGTTGAATTCACCGTCATCATCCGCAGGAGGGCTCTCTTTTATTTCATCAACCTCCTCGGGCCTTGCGTTCTGATTTCGTTGATCACCGTTTTGGATTTCTTTATGCCGGCCGACGCGGGGGAAAAAGTCACGCTGGGGATCACCATTCTCCTGGCGCTCACTGTGTTCCTGTTGCTCGTAGCAGAGACGATGCCCCCTACATCGGAAGTTGTCCCGTTGATAGGTAAGCGAAGACAGTATTGATGTGTAGTCTATAGGTGGCCGATGGCCCATTAAACAAAGACACTGTGTCTAATAAATCTTAGGACCAATAGCTCGTAGACCTTTGCCATTAACTTCCGACTAGTTTTCGGGAAGTTCCTGGAAGGTACACGAGACTGAATTTTTCGGTCCCTTTGACTTTCGCTCTCGGAGACCTTTGAAGAAATGAACCTTCGGTCAACTGGGAACCTTGTGAAGTTGATTAATAATGAATCATATAATGACTTACCAAAGGCCTTTCGTAATCAATCTGAAGCAGCAAGATACCCAGAACAACACATGGTAAAAGATGTCTTCCGCACAATTTGGGATAATTAGCTTATATTAGGTATCACGTCGTTCTTCCTACATTATTTTAAGATCAGAGGGTAGACATCATGAAAATAGAAGGAAACGAGTTACAATTTAAATGAAAGTTAAATACGGTAATTAAAAAGAGAATTTAACTCATGGACGAACTGATCCTAATCACGTAAATGAATGTCTTACAATTACTTTTTTAATGTTTGGATTGTGTTTGGTACATCGACGCTCACCAATTCTAATCTCTTCTTGTTTCGTTGTTTCATTTGCAGCTCAATATTACGCCTGTACCATCGTCCTGGTTTCCCTCTCTACTGTGATGACAGTCTATGTCCTGAGTCTCCATTACCGACTACCTGGAACCAACCGCGTGCCACGAGGCATGAAGAAGTTCGCCTTCAGTTTCCTAGCCCGAATCATGTGCATGGGAAGCTTCCTCGTCAACATGGGGGACGACGATGACGAGAACGAGATTTCGCAGAACAAGTCCCACGCCGGCGTCTACGAGAACACCTTCCTCAGCCATCAGAACGGGATCGCCATCATGGACGACTCGGAGAAGAAATCGTCGGAGGAATCGTCCGTGGTCTCTAAGAGGTTCGAATCGATGACCCACGACATCATGACGAACCTGAAGTACATCGTCAAGAAGAAGAAGGATGAGGACGCGGAGGATGACATCATGACGGAGTGGAAGTACGTCGCGGTCGTGTTCGATCGCCTCTTCATGTGGGTGTTCCTTCTTGCCACCACCATCTGCACCCTTGCCATCATCTGTCAGCCCAAACCGTTTACAGGACCCAACGAGTTCTAGGAACTCTGTACTATTCATTTCTAACTAGGGACTGATCACAATACGAACTGAGATTGGCATATAAGTCACATTGTATTTCCAAGACAATCAGGTCGGCTTTCGCTAGCTTAAAGCCCGTCTGCACTAGTTTGACAAGGAGGGATTAGACCTCCGTGCAAGGTCACTGACAGGTGGTTATCTCATCAAATCAGCTGTCAATTAACATAAGCAAAAGGCATCATGGGGGACCAACGGGCATCGCTCAGGCATTGTTTGCTATGTAGAGGGCGCAAGTAGCTACTGTACAAAAGTAGTGCAGTCCGGCTTTAAGGCCCGTTGCGCGCGAGGCGTCATTCCAGTAGTCTGCAATACCACTTTCTCATGGGGAATCGAGACTACGCTGACGGAGTCCTAAGTCAATAAATTGACGCATCATGTGGAACGGACTTTAGCTTTCACTGAGCCCACATCGATGCAGCTGTACTAGCAAGTGCTATTCTCCATGTTATGAATGGTTTGACAAGCTAAGTCTGACCATGATGACTGAGAACCTAAACCAGTGTCAAAGCATCTATACTGACCCTGTATCATACTAATAACAACTATGGTACTCAAATTGAAAATATATCAGCACATTCACTGTCATTCCACCACCAAAGTATAGATTTAGCTAGAAACGTAAAATCGTGTAAATATACGCAATGTTCGTGTATGTAACTAATTTCTATTTTTCTTGCCCAGGTCATTTACTTAATTTGGAAGTGGAGTACATTTCCAACAGGTATAAGCATTTCTCTAAATATGGGACATAATAAAATGTAAGTATTAAAGCGGAATGTACACTACGTACATCTATCGAAGTGTCTATATGCTACACTGAACATGATGATATAAAAACAAACATTAAATACGCATCTTCCTACACTCCTCAAGTTTTAAGAATGAAATCTGTCAGACGACTACAACAAGGTAGCCAGAAAAAGATGAAACAAAAGAGTTAAAAGATAAGAGCATGATATTTGTTTTAATTGATTGATTTTCATTGTGTAGTATTCCGTTAAAACTTTAAATTGATCTGTATTTGATATGTATTTCTATACAAATTTATGTTTATACTTATAATAGTCATGCAACTCACTGATTAAAAAAAAAACGATCGTAAAGACTTACCCCAAAAATCATCAAGGGCAATAGTAATCCCCGAATGTATTGCCATAAGAAATACAGATCAGATAAAGTTATTTGTTTATGCAATATTCATAAATTTCAAATGCTAATTGACCAGGCGATTGAATGTGTCTTACATTGAATTTTCGACAGTCTCTGCGAACCTGTTCGATGAATTATATCGTATATATCTTATTATGTTGTTGCAATATTCACACATTTCAAAAGGTGCTGACAACGATATTTGGTTTACCTTAGTTTGATTTTTGCGACTGTGTTTGAAGAATGTATTACTGTTGTGCTCGAGTTCTGTTTAACTCAATTTGAGAAGCGTAGCAAATAACATCGTGATGTGAAGCCAAGACAGGTCTTAGCTAATAACTATAACCAATCATATTTTGTACAGATAGATATTTAGTTAAAAGGTTTATGCCTTTTTTTATACATACATGTTAGTAACTAGTTAGCAGAGCTGTGACATATTGATGATTTAAAGTATACACAATTATGTAGCAAATGTTTGAACAACGTGTTACTTGACTTAATACACTTCACATGACATCATTCAAGGTCATCGATTTTGAACATTTGATACGAATCCACTAAATTTGGAAATACGTACTAATATGCATTGCATTTCAATTAGTTATTGTTTCAGCGGTTTGTAAAATTCTCTCGTTTTTAACACTGTGCGATCATTATTACTTGCTGAGAGGCAGAAAGGAGCTAAATGCATTATCCTTTTGCTTAGAATGATGGCCATTTTGGCTATCAGCAGAATTATCATTTTTGTTGTAGTTGTACATTATTGATAACATTATGCATCGTATTTCAAGGTGGTTGCAATGAATTGACACCGTAAAAGGCCTTTTAATGTATGAGTACTGTCAAAATGATTAGTTTATCCATTACCCGTGTGTACAATGTAATATCATGAATTTTCATTCTGTATGTATGTTTTTTTCCCTCAATATAAACAGCACTGCTAGACTGTGTTATAAATCATATGGGCAAATCGATATGCAATTTTGATTATCAAATATCTATACATTGTGTTAAATAATACCCATTACATTTTATAGATTATAAAGTTGATATGTATTCATGAAAATCGTCCAAAATTGAGAAAATAAAAAAAAGGATAGAATGTGAGATTATAGTGTCGAAGAATATTTCGTTCAGGAACAACCCAAAACTGGAAAAGGAAATATGGAGACACAATTACTGAAAGAAAGGGAGATAGAGAGAGAGAGAGAGAGGAGAGAGAGAGTATATGTGTGTGACAGAGAGAGGAAGAGAGAGAGGGAGAGAAAGAGAGAGAGAGGGGGGGCTAGAAAGACAGAGAGAGAAAGGGAGAGAAAGAGGGAGAGAGGGAGAGAGAGAGAGAGAGAGAGAGAGAGAGAGAGAGAGAAAAGGAGAGACAAAAAGGGGAGGAGGGGGGGGGGGTGGAATGTAATATTGAGGGGGAAGTAAGCACGGAAGAGAGTGAAAATTTAAGAAAAAAGAGGGGGATAGGGAGATACCCAGGGAAAGAAGGAAAACCTATGGGATAACAAAATTGTAAAAGAGAGATGATATGACTTTAACAAAATGGGACATCATTATGTATCCAAAAACCGTATCCGGACACCTACCTCCTGGACATCCACCCCCGGAAAAACACCCCCAGTCAATTACCCCCTAGGACATCTACCCCCTAGGGCAACCACCCTCTAGGACGACTACCCCAAGACAACTACCCCGGACAACTATCCCATGGACAACTACACCCGGACAACTACCCCTCAGACAAATACCCCTAGAATAGTTGTCCGGGGGCACTTGTCCTAGAGAATGGTTGTCGTAGGGGGTAGTTGTCTGGGAGTAGTTGTCCGGGGGTAGTCTTCCTCGGGGGTAGTTGTCCACGGGGGTAATTGGCTGGGGGTGGTTATCCGGGGATGGACGTCCAGGGGGTAGGTGTCCTTTAACCATCAAAAACAAGTGCGATAATTTGTCATTCCTAGATGATATATGCAAGTTGATCTAAACGTATTATTTGGTTTATATCTACCACAAACTAGAATTTGGTCTACAGCATCTTGTCCTGTGATTTAGTTTGGCCACACTAATACCCAAACAAGACAACAAAACCCTCCAAAAACCCGACAACCAACAGTAGATGTCCATGTCCGAGTGCTGTTTTATCACTCCCTTTTATTAAAGTTTCATGCCCGTATACGCACACGCCAGATGGTCCGTGAGCTAAAATCAATCGTCATAAAACGATTTATTATTCTGCTAATGAAGCTAAATTGTACAGAGCTTTTTAGAAGAATTGAGTCATTAAGTCCTTCTTAATTATCAGAGGTTATAGGCCAACACCCAGTGGAGGTTGTCTGTAAAGTCCTGCTGTCAAATACGACCTTCAGTAAACGAAGGTAAAGTACAGGGACCCATATTTAAGTATGTCTTGTTTTAGTTTCCTTTGTATTGTTTAGCGCACCTTTTTCTTTTCTGCTAGGTAAGTCATGGATAGTTAATATGCTGGTAGTGTAATAATAAGCGATTATCTCTTTGTTTCAAACTAGGCGAGTTTAATTAACTGCGGATGGTCTTTTCTTTTAATTAAAAAAGAATTATGCTTCGCGATCATGAAATACGTCCTTCATCTATCGCTAGGACAGAACAAATATGATTCTATCTAGTTTTAATGGGCTATTGAAAATGAAGTTGATGATCGGTTTGGCCCAAACCTCTGAAATAGATTCATGACATTTCATATGTGTTTCATGGCGTGTGCGTACATGTAATAATAGTAATAAATAATAACATGGTTATTTATATAGCGCCGGTTTCCGCCAGGTTCTGACGCTCATGGCGCTTTACACATACCCTCATGCCTCTCTCTTCTTCTCACTCCCTCCCTCTCTACCTCTTCCCTTTTGTCTTTCTCATTCTCTTTCCTATCCGTCTCTATCTTTGTCTTTCTATTTCTCTTTCTCTATTATCATTCCTTTCTCCGTTCCTTTTCACCTGCTCTTTTTCTTTACCATGTAATTATCTCTCCCTCGTTCCTCAAACCTCCCCTCTCTCTCACTCTCTCCCTCCCTGTCCTTCTCTTCTTCTTCTTCTTCTTCTTCTTCTTCTTCTTTCTACCTCCCTCTCTTCCTATGACAAATTTTTGGAGAAAGAAAACCACTAGTCCCGATTGCCTGATTAAAATACATAAGTCAACGAGAAAAAGAAAGAAAAAATAGATGGCTTTGAAGTATTCAAATTACCTTCAGAACTATAATTTGATAAGATCATTTATACAGAATTCTCTCTGGCTATAACGTACCTATGATTTTTAAGGTAACACGCATAACTAAACAAAAAACGCCCATATCGATATAGCTACGTAAAACGCCAAATGAAATGTACTGAACAATAAACTTCATAAACACAAACTGAATTGATACTCGAAACAATGAAACATGATAAGCTAAATATTCTTTGTCAGTGAAATCATGTTTTATTGAGGTGTATTATAAACTAGTTCAGTATGTTACACGGAAATTATTACAAATTAAGTACAATGACTTATTTAAGGAATGTAACATATATTCTTTGATACTTAGAATAGCATATTTAAAGTACAAGCGGATATATAAACTGAAATGAATGTAGTTATTTACAAAAACAATTATTGTACGATTACTTGTTCTCGTATAGCTATACAATTCTGGTATCACTTATATGCATATATCACCAGATATTAAATGAATCACGCTATGTACAACAATAAATGTTAATTATCAAACTTTTTTTTGTAGTGAGTTAGCTCCTTTCTAGATGATTACCCGAAGACTTTAATAATCGAATCATATCAACATAAAACAAACCTAACTTTATTCAGTTATTCACTCCGATTAAAATCAATATGAATCGAAACTTCTAAATTTGTTTTAAAACGGCAGTCACATCCGTTCTACGACCAAGTCTTAATGGCGTATTCAGTACAGGATGAAGCCGACGAAGCCCCCTCCATTAGAAGCCCCTTTAAATGAATACACATCCTGTATACCTTAAAGCTTATCAACACTAGTGTGGCTAGGAAGGATAAGACCACACAGCGAGATCACTGACAGGTGGCTATCTCATCAACTCAGCTCTCAAATAACATAAGAAATAGAGGATCATGGGGGACCAACAGGCACCGATTGGGGAAGTTTTCTATATAGAGGGAGCAAGTAGCTACAAGTAGGACAGTGGGCCTTTAAATATACATTTAATAAACATGATGTGCCCCTATTTGTGCCCAGATGGCAATTTCAAATATAACTCGGAATGCGCCTAAAAACTGAATTTTCTTTTTTTTGGTCCAAGATTTGTGATTAAAACATTGTTAAAAAAAAGAACTACCTAACAGTATGATTATATTTTCTTTATCAAAATGTAGGGCACCCCCTACCAGAGCATTCTGGATACGCCAGGGACGCCATTTTGGGTTGTTAGCCTATAACTGATTTTGCGATGCTGGGTTTGACATGATAGAGAGAATGCTGAATAAACCCAGAGCCAAGGCTGTCATCATGAGGAAGAGTAGGACGCGATCGAGAATGAGGCACATATCTATCCATTGCTGCTGGATGGCCGACAGTGCCTCTTTCTTCCGAGAATTGTTCACCAGTCTCCGGATGTAGTTGCCAATGCGCATGATCGATGACCCCATGCTGTCATCGTTAGTCTGTTTCGAAACAAGCAAATCAAAAACATTAACATACAAACAAATACATAACATTATAATAACAACATCACCACCGAGACCACCAAACACAGCAAATTACTACACCGAGAAAAAGTATAGGTCTCGGTCATGCTAGGATGGATATGGAATCAATATGATATTGAATTAAAATCTTGACAAGCCATTATCCTCAACAATCAGAATATGGGATTCATCTATTTTGTTCCCAATTCTGGTATCACTTATATGAATTCATCACCAGATATCAAATGAATTACGCTATGTGACACCGGAACTCATTGTTTTATTTTTGCGGAAACCGTGTTGGCACATATTTGATGTATGAGGATCTTTTCTTTATCTTGCTCGATCCTTTTCAATGTATCTAGTTTAAAATTTAAAATAAGGGATGGTTGTAAAGCTGCTTATTGTAAGCGACAATTTCTTCAAGTATAAAATAACAAGGAACTATTTTATGTGACTTTCGGGTTTGTTAGAACAAAAGGATATTAGTTTCCGCGACCTATTAAGAAACAACTGCGCATTCTAAACATATCCTTATCGATTTGACGGTAGTTTTTCTTGTCTGTATGATTTAATGTAGATTTTATGTAAAATGAAATTTGAAATGAAATCATATGGACCTTTAGAGAGTTCAAACGGTACTTAAATGACTTACCTCACTGCCGTAGTCGGAGTCCTGGCTTGATTGTTTCTCCTTGGGTTTCGACTCGGGAACGTCGTCGGGGTTCATATCGAGCTTATGAAGTAGACTCTCCCCGATCGCCCGCGATTCCATGGACGACTTACGGTTGTCGAACTCGAAAGGATCACTCGCTTTGAAGTCATGGGCGCCGTAATCGTTGACCTCGAGAGCGGCATCATCGTTGGCGCTGTACTCGTGGTGCCAGCCCTTCAGACGAAGTAGCTTAGCGGCTTTGTCGAGGATCAGCCAGCGGGCCCAGGCCGGCGGAGGGTAGGGGAGGTGGAGGTGATAGAGGCGGAGGATGATCACGGACATGGCAGTCTCGATCGACATAATGACGATGATGGTGGAGAACAGCTTGCCTGCATGGAGCGAAATGAATAAAGAAAGTTTAAAGGAGAGTCTGTTATAATATATTACCATCATTAAGTCGACGAATATTATATGTATCTACATATACTGTACATGATGTATAGTCATGATCTTGTTTTGGTATGACAGAGGCAATTTCTCGAACGATGATAATAATGATCATCAGGATGCCTTAAATATTTAGGAATTAGGCATTTACCAGCTAACTTCAATTTTCCATTACATGTAGTCTGAGGAAGATGCCAGAACGATAGAAATAGCAACTGTCACAGATAATAAAGCCTCTTTGTTGTATCATAGAACTAAATTCCTAATGATGATAACACTTTTATTCATGTACAGTTGTATAGGGCATTATGACGTCATCGAATTCCTGGGATAAAATACTGTCTGAAATACCTACATGACAATTAATAATAATAATAATAATAATAATAATAATAATAATAATAATAATAATAATAATAATAATAATAATAATAATTAATTTATATAGCGCAGCTTTTATACAAAATATATTCAGCTGCGCTGGTTAAGAGCTCCTTTTTACTAAATTCTACAAAATAAGATCACTCAGTTGAACAAATAAGTTTTAAATTGGATTTTAAAACATTGAAAGATGGAGTGCTTCGTATTTCTATTGGCTATTCCATAGTTTGGGGGTAGCAATAGCAAAAGCACGGTCCCCAAGAGTTACTTTAGTTTTGCCATGGGGAATCTGAAACAATTAATACAATTCGAATCACAAACATATCGTAGGTTCAGTGTCTGAAACAGACACGAAGACGTAACTCCATATTTTTCCAAATTGAGTATTTGATATCAAGATGTTCAGAAAATGTGGGCTTTCCAGGAAACACAAAGACTTATCTCCACCACTTTTTCTCAAAATGGCAGAAAGGAAGTTACGTCTTTTTGTCACTGACCCCTCGATATGCTTCAAATACTTACCGAGGTACGAGATCGACTCCGATGTCGGGGGTAGGAGCTGTGCCCCGAGGAGGAGGAAGAAGACGATCGAAAGCAAACTGGTGATGTTGAGGCCCACTTTCTCGCCGGAGTCCGGAGGGAGGTAGAAACCCAACAACGACACGAAAGACATGAAGACGGTCGGGAAGATGAGGTTAAAGACGTAGAAGAGCGATTTTCGTTTGAGGTTGATGAAGAAGGTGACGTCAGAGTAGGGGATGGGGCAACAGCCGTACTTGATGAGGTTCTCCTCCACCGGCATGCCGAGCAGACGCCATTGACCGTTGGGGCTCAGTTGGGAGAAGTCACCGGAGTCTGTCAAATAATTGATTCATTTAATAGAACGCATACCTTTAATAATCACATATTTGTCTGACATCTAAAAAGGACAATTATACAATTGCGTTAAAACTGATACACTTTGAGACAGACAAAAAACAAACAACTTTTTTTAACCTTTTCTTTTTAAAAGATGCCCTCCCTCGTTCGATATTGCGTGCACCAAATTGTTGGTATCAGAGAAGAAGGGAATAGGTGTGGGGAGGGGGGGGGGGGGTAGAAAAAGTATGACGAAATATTTCTTTTAAACAAAAAAGATAACAATGTATTATGAAGCTCTCAAAAAGGGTCCTATAATTTATTTATCTTGTCGATCTACTTCTCTTTTTTTTTTCTTCTCTATTTACCTGCTCTCTTTTTCATGATGACTTCGTTGCCGAGATAAGCCCAAGGACCGAACTGGAGTTTGCAGCTGTGCTGATCGAATGGAAAGTAGGTTACGCTGAGACTGCAGGAGCTCTTGAAGATTGCAGGGGCTTGCCAGAAGACGGTCCCGTTGGAGAAGACCTTGGCGTTCGTCAGCATGACGTCATTCCCCAGCTCCTTATCGACGTCCGCGCTGAAAGTATGGGGGGGGGGGGGGGGGGGGGGGGGGGGGTAATGCAGGGGAAGTGGAATAGAGATATGAAATATGGAGTAAGTACGAAAAGACAATAGAGGGGGGGGGGGGTAAGGAAGAGGATGATAGAGACAGACAGAGAGAGAGAGAGAGAGAGAGCGGGAGGGGGCAAGAGGATAGAGAGAATAATAATAATAAGAATATTAAGATGATGATGAGGGAGATGAATAATAAAAAAAGAGAGAGAGAGAGAGAGAGAGAGAGAGGGGGGGGGGCAAGAGGATAGAGATAATAATAATAAGAAGAAGATTAAGATGATGATGAGGGAGATGAATAATAAAAGAGAAAGAAAGAGAGAGAGAGAGCGGGTCGAAAAAAGTTAGAATGAGAAAGAAAGAGGGAGAGAGAGAGAGATTGAATTGAATTGAAATCTTTATTTATACACGGTTAAAAAAAAGCCCAAACGACTGATTTCCATTGGGGCCGTGTGAAACAATGTAAATACATCGAATTAACATAAACATGACATATTTAAAACAAACAAGAAATAATCAAGATAAATATTTAAAAAAATAACGATAGAATAGTACTGCCGAAAAATTATATTTATATGAATAACAATAACCAATAACCTGAGTGTCCAGAGAGAGAGAGAGAGAGAGAGAGAGAAAGAGGAGAAATGAGAATAACAAGAAGAAAACAAAAAACAGATAGGGGAGGGGAAGGGTGCAATTAAATTGCAGGTGTAGTATCTTATACTTTTATTCGATCCAACTTCAACAGTAAAATAATTTATAATCATGTCATATATTAAGAATATGAGTTATATAATCAACACATCAGATTAAGTAGTTTACACCAATGTCAGTGACACGGTCATTATTTACCTCTCATAGAGCACTGTATCGGGAATCCAGATCATTGTGGTAGGGATATAAACCGCGGTAATGTTGTCATAATCCTTAGGATCCCAAGTAAGATATTCATCTATCCAGCTCTGTAAACATTAGAATTGAATAAATTATGTAATAATGAACACGACAACAATAGGTGACGATGATATATTATATTACCTACACTGAGGTAAACCAATTGCTCCATGGTGCAGATACGCAGACATACATGAATGGGACCATGGTTTGAGAGCTGATGTCCTTTGCTGGAATAAACGTTCAACATTTTAATTATTGCTACTGGCTACATCAGTGAAAATGTTAATGTATCTAATTATATAAGAATAAACAATATTCGTCTTATTAGGTAAGATTGAAAAGTACAGATAGGCCACTTCACTGTGATCAGAAAATAAGCGACGGTTTCTCGACTGAAATGTAGAATATTCCGGGGGGGGGGGGCTGTTGTTATCATGATATGAACAAAACAAAAGAATTTTTTTTTTTTCTTCAATAGAATAACACAGAGGTTAAAAAAAAACAACGAAAGGTATACCTGTTCAAGCCACATTGCTGTGATTAGGATCTGATTCCGTTCATCCTGTTCAAGTCGGAAAGGGGGCAGAGAGACAGACAGAGAAAGAGAGAGAGAGGGAGAGAGAGGGGGAGAGAGAGAGGGAGAGAGAGAGAGAGAGAGAGAGAGAGAGAAAGAGAGAGAGAGAAAGAGAGAGAGAGAGAGAGAGAAAGAGAGAGAGACAGAGAAAAAAAAGGTCCATTTATAAAGCGCATCTACTATTAAAATGAATATAATTTACTGAGCTTAATACAACAAGTATCACATTATTACCACGGCTGTAGGTGGGCCGCTATAACTGGGCGCTAAATCATTCAAGTAATTTCTTCCTACCGGGTACCCGTTTACTTCACCTAGGAGGAGAGTGGCAACATGTAGATTAAAGTCTTGCCAAAGGACATTAGTGCCGCGGCGAGACTCGAACCGCGAACCATGTGATCCATTGTCCGGTGACGTATCTACTAAAACACGACACCGTTGAATATTGAAAAGTATTCTTTAGAGTTGCCTATTTCATAATGATAACAACAGACAAAACATCATTCATCCCCCAAGGCGTCACGTTTTCTTGCCATGGCCCTTAACTCATTTGGCAAGACATTAAATTACATTTGTCACTCTCCACCCAGGTGAGGGAAATGAGTACTCGGAATGAAGAAACGGAATGCTTGTACGCCTTATAATGGTATCTTGGTTGAAGTCGGGGTAAGAATAGTTGGAATCACATATACTCATCGATTAATTATTGGCAAATTTACAACAACCCAAAGCTTGTTAGGGTTTAAAATTAAAAAAAAACAAACGTGTGTCTCTGAACGATGCCTAGCTACTTCCAGAATTATCGTGTTTGTTAATGCCAGATCTGGTTTAAACTGATAAAACTACTAAATTGATTGAATGAAATAAAGTGTGGAAATACCATTTGAAGAAGTCTCGACAATCTCATGTGATAGTACACGTAGACGATGGTCGATTCGTTGAAGACTGGGCGCACATAACGACTGTATTGAGAGAGAAGGTTTCCGATGAGACGGTTTTCCGTGTTCGAAGACGGCCTTATCGTCGTTGAGTTCGACATCGTCATCTCGGCGTCGCTCACTTTTTCAACAAACACAAACAAACAGTCAATAATATTGCTATGGAATAGATCACACTGTGTTTTGTAAAAGTAGAAAGTCCAAGGTTTTGTGAAATTAGTAGGTAAAAACATATTACTATGGGAATTAGAAGAGCGTATAGAAGAGCGATTAAATCACTTGGGAATGTGTTAGTACTTGCAGATGCGAATGTATTATAATGAAATTGAGATTCACAGCTTTTGTATATAATGATATAAAATTGGTTGAGGATATGATATCAGTAAGACAGTTGACAGTTAAAAGAATATATCATGAGTTGATTAAAACAAAAATCGAAGAACCTAGAGCGGAAGAATTTTGGCGTAATACTTTAGGAATTGAATGTATACCTGCATTGTCAGATGTTTGGACAATCAAGTTAAGAGTTATAAAAGACAGTTTACTGATCAATTTCAATTTCAAATTTATGTACAATATTTTGGCAATACCAAATAATTTGTTTAAATGGAAGAAAATGCCACTGGAAAATGTTATTATTGTAATCAACCAGGTGATTGTGTGCATATGTTATTTTCTTGTAACGAAGTCATGAAAATTTGGAAAGAAGTTGAAAAGAATATAAAGAAATATTTCATGTCAATTTTAATTTCAAACCATGTCATTTACTGTGAGGTATTAAATTTAATTCAACGAAGGAAAAAGATGTTGATATTTTTTTTAAATTATGCTCTGAGTCTTTTCACTATTTACAAAAGCTTTGTTGGAAAAGAATTTAAAAAGAAAAGAACAGAGACTTCTTCATATTTTGTGTCACATATTGAATTATCGTTTACAAATACAGATAGAAAAACAAAATAGAAAACCATGTATATTCCTCCAGAAATGGAGGTAAAGGCTAAAATTGTGAAGATGTTTATATTAACATGAGGAAGACCAGAAATTGTTATTTTACACACACACACACCAACAAAACTATGGAAAATATATTTTAGCAATGTTATGTATAAATTCATACATCTTGTTCGAAAAACTTCAATAGTGTCATAGCAATTGGAAAATGCACAACATAGCTTTGTATACATGTTTTCATTTAAATGCGATTTAAATGGAAGATCTGTCTGGTACTGGATTTGGGCACGTGATTTATTTGTAACCATATCAGAAGTATCAATTTGTAAAACAATTGTACCTAGAAGATCCTAGTTTCTTGGCTCGATTTCACAGGTTTTTACAAAAATAATGACGTAAAATGAATGTGTCTACAGCGGAGCGCGAACACAGTACAATTATCTGCGTGGAATAATGTTTCTATCACAGAAACCCACCGCTTAAGATGTCAATTATTATAAATGGACATGAACTTTTTCCTGAAAATAATTTTAGAGCATCTAATGTTGTTGATAATCATTGAATAAAAACATGTCATATTGCAATACTCCAATCTGATCACACGTCAAAAGATACAAGGGCGGCAACAACAGTAGCCAACCACACTTAAAACTTACCCTTTACTGTACAAACGAAGATGATCGCCGCCGCCAAAAGAACACATCTTAATCTAAAGGTGTCCATCCTTCTCTTCCTCCTTCTAAATCACCTTCATTTAACGCTATTTCTTCAATAAAACAGTTATTTGCAAGGCGTTTAGTGGACTAGCTCAGCTTGAAAAATGTGGATATCACAAACGCTTGTTCGTGGCGCCTTGAATAAATTCGTGTGGCGCAAAAACATCAGCACAGATTTTCTTCTTCGATCGGTTTTGAGAGCATATTAACGTACGTACCGCATTGCCATAATGACCAGTGTCGTTAACACGAAAGTTACGTAACTCTAATCGATGCCATGCTTTTAGTGCAATGCATATATCTGCGATTGTATCAACGAGGAATAGTGAGCAAATAATCGACTACTCGGGAGATAAATTGATCCATTCATTAAAGGCCGTTGAAAAATAGAGTAATATAATGTACTTCCTGTAATGACTATAGTTAGAAAAAAGTGCTTCGCTATGGGGGTGACACCCTAAAAATGCCTTTGCTTGTTTTGGAATGTAAAAGTTGTCGCTAAATTTGGCAATCCGATAAGTAATTTGACTTGACCTAGTTATTAATTTGGTTGCAAAGATATTTTTATATTTTTGTTGTAAATACACAAATTATTCATTTTTTCTTCTTAAATCATTCCTTCTGTCGTCTCGCTCTCTCACAAGGGGTCTTTAAATGGACCACTAAAATAAGAATTGAGGAATCTAACTCCAAAAAAAAATTGGTGAACAACGCAAATCACATGAAAACTCTCTTAGTAACAATTAAGCTGCCTCCATTACAATAAATTAAATGGGAATCCATTTTGCAACACTAGCGGTTGCTATGTCTGGCAAGCTACTGGCAAGCTTTTCAGTTGTCAAGAGAAACGTTTGTTCATAATGTATGCATACAAGTGGTGACCAGATCTATTGCCGACGATAAAGACGTTTATGCCAGCACCCTCGATAAAAATGTCCTTCGGCAAGGCATTAATCAATATTTGTCACTCAATACCCAAGAGAGAAATGGGGTCCCAGTAGGATGACGAAAGCATGTGTGATAGTAATTGCCTATGCCCTCACGGTGACCATTGGTAGGAATACTCACCAGGGAGTGGAGATGGTGCACTGTGTGCGTGAATGAATCCGATGACCGGAGTAATAATATTTGTGAAGCGCTTCGAGACGGTATTCCATATTAAGCGCTATATCAATCAATATTTTTATTATCATTAAAATGATGCTGGAATTCTATCATTAAGCACCTCCATAACTTTGGCATTTTGGAATATTATCAGATGCACAAAAGTTGGACTTTCCCATGCTTAACATACCTGTACATTTTATTTTGGGTTAATTTGTATGCCGTTTGCTACGAACTAGTATATAACTATGTGCTTATATTTTGAAAACCGATTTGGATAACTATTTAATTGAAGTTGAGTTTGGAAGGTAATAGGGACTTTTAGATTCGCACGAAGACAATATGTCTATGCTACGATCGACGTCCTTTTAATGCACTGCCTTGAATGGACGTCACACGTATCAGTCCACGCAAATCTAAAAGTCCCTAATTACGGTATTTGCAGGTAGAATTTCCATCGGATTCAATCTGATTCCCCTCGAATTAAAAAAATCTCAAGTGGGGAAATGCATCATACTTAACTAAAGATGGCAGTATACAATTTGAAAAATTATTCTTTTGAGCAGTGAGAAAAAATATCATGTTGGGCAACCACGAAACACACAGGGGTTGAATATTCTGCATAAATGTATTATAGTCTATGCGAAAATATCTATACAAAGATTGTGAAAAAGGGTAAAAAACAAATTAGCTTATGCATTTCCCTTTTTGAATTTTAACGGCAAGCTTCAGGAAATTGCTTTATAATTAAACAATGTGCTTATATTTTCAAAACTGATTTGGATGACTATTTAATTGAAGTCGTTTGGGAGGTACTGATAACGATTTGCAATTAAAGATTTAAACTATCCAATTCAGAAAAAAAAAATATGATGCGATTAGGAGAGAAAAAAATATATGTACGATTTAGCTTTTTGAAGTGTTTGTGGCAGTGTATGTAAACATTTCTCCTTTTGCTCGTAGTGAAATAACCATTTACACTTTATTCCAGAGTCCATTCATCTCACAACTCTGGCATGCAAAAAGCAACCAACCCATCAACTCACGGATATTGCATTCCGACAACTCGGGAGTAAAAAATAAATATAACAAAAGAACAGTTAAGCAATTGACACCACCACACTTATGCAATTTTAAGCAGAGAAAGAAAATGTTATTCAAATACAAATACAATGAATATTTATCCACATAAAAACAGTGAGCTTCAAATCAGGGGCGGATCCAGGATTTGCCGATAGGGGGGGGGGGGCCTAAAATGTGAAAATCGCGCCGACCAATATCTCGATCAATGGGGGAGGGGGGGGGGGGGTAGTGAGCATCATTTGTTGGGGTATATGACCCCGAAAATGTGAAAATCGAGCCTACCAACATCTCGCTCTTTGGGGGGGGGGGGGGGGGGAGAGTATGCATCATTTATTTTGTGTATTTGACCCCAAAACTTTTTTTTTTTTTAGTATTATTAAAAAAAAAAAAACGCCAGGGGGTGGGGGGGGGGGGGCGACGGGCCCGGGTCCCCCCCCCCCCCCTCTGGCCTTTTTTTTTTTGGATCCGCGCCTGCTTCAAATTTAAAGTAATTTCAACTTATCACGATGTACATCGTCGTATTCTCTATTGTAATGATTCGGCTTCGTGAGGTAAGGGGGCGCTGTTGAATGTGATGTTTTGCGACTAGGAGCTGCCTAGTTGTCAATGATGTGCAGCACTCCGTTGGTGGTTGGAATATCGGCCTGGATCACGGTGGCCATTTTGGATTCGCCTCCCCGTTTGTTCAAGACAATAGGCCATTTTCGTAATGTAACCAAATTTAATGCATAGGTCTTTGTGAAGTGCCTCAATACAAATTATTTCATTCACCTGATAAGAATAATAGTATTTCAATAGTCAGAATACAAACTGCATATATTAAGTGTTGCTAGGTAGGTCAAGCCATAGTGTTTGTCCAACCTGGCAACATCTAATGTATGCAGTTCGGATTCCGTCTATTGAAATAGTATTATTTGATTCAGGTGAATGAAATAATATGTATTGAGGCACTTCACAAAACACTTATGCATTACATTTGGTTACATTACGAAAATGGCCTATTGTTTTATAAGGTCATGCGTGTGTGCGAAAGTCTGCTTTCCAACTTTGCTGCTCCCCGTTGGGGATACTTTTTACAGAGCACACCATCCAAACAGAACCCAAGAGAGGAAAACTGCTCCTTAATTTGTCAATGACCGAAAGTGCTTACGAAGTCGTTATTGTTAAAACAGCTGAATGTTCTCATTAAGATGCACATAATCAGAAGGCGGTGACTCTCATAGGATCAAAGAAAGAGTCACGTCGAATGTCCATCCGTAATAGGCCATTTTCGTAATGTAACCAAATTTAATGCATACGTCTTTGTAAAGTGCCTCAATACAAATTATTTTATTCACCTGATGAGAATAATAGTATTTCAATAGACAGAATCCGAACTGCATACATTAGTTGTTGCCAGGTTGGACAAACATTATGGCTTGACCTACCTAGCAACACTTAATATATGCAGTTGCATTCCGACTATTGAAATACTATTAATCCTATCAGGTGAATGAAATAATTTGTATTGAGGCACTTCACAAAGACTTATGCATTACATTTGGTTACATTACGAAAATGGCCTATAGGTTCATGGATATTCTTGCCCATTAATCTACATGATTCCCCACCAAACTGTATGAGAGAGAGAGAGAGGCATAAAGCAAGAAAATGTCAGTTTCACAGCACGACATGGGCATCGCTATTTTTTGGATAACGTGACGTATTTTATGAAGTCGTTATCAAGTAAATGTATTCAAATTTATGGGTATTTCCTCCCCAGGTTTGTGGTGAGAAAGCATTTCATTCACCTGCTTTTATCCTTTGTACTACATTGCCAGAACAAATTACATAAACAGGTTGGTCCTCTTTGGGGGTGAAGGTTTCGCATAAACGAAATAGATTTGTCAACAGCTATATTTAAATATTTTAAATAAATGAGTTACAATTATTACTCTGATGAATACTTTTTGCCAAATATAGTTTGTTACCTTTTCAGCTATGATTTTTCCTCATTGAAAAGTAAATGTTTAGTTATTGAATTATAAAGTCTTTCCAACTAAAGCTTGGTACATGATACATGTACAACATAGCCTGATATTATTGGTAACATATTTGCAGTGCTATAGATAAAAAGCATTTCAGATGATTTTTTAAAGGATTTTGTTATGCTTTAGGGGAAGAGGGTAGTCATATGTCCTTTTATAATAGACATGTTTATCACCATATTCAAATTTATGGACATTTCTTTCCTGGGGACCTAGTGACAAGTTATTCCATTAAACTTTTATTCAAGAGTCCAGTCTACACATATTCCTTGTTGCTATCTGTTGAGCAAAGCCTCGGGAAAGCTTCCAGGTGGTCATGAACAGCCTTTGTTTAAAATGTATGCACAGAACTTGAATATTTTAGTAAACTGTTGTATTACAAGATATTGTATTTAAAAAAATATATATAATGTGATACTATATCGTTTGGGATATTTATCACGTTTTCTATTGATTTGTTCATCAAGGTTTTTGGGGAAATATTTTTGTTTATTTCGTGGGTGTTTTATACCGAATAGAGGCCACTTGAGTCCGTCATCCGGGTATCTACGTCTTATGTGGTTATCCCATCAAATCAGCTCTCAATTAACATAACGAAAAGAGGATCATGGGGGAGCAACAGGCACCGATTAGGCATTGTTTGCTATATAGAGATCGCAAAAAGCTATAAATAGTGCAGTGGAGCTTTAAGGCAAAACTCTTTGTTTCACATGAGAAAAATCTCACATAGGACATTTACAGGACTTATCTAACCTAAGAAAAATCTCGGAAAATTGTGTGCATCAAGAAAGGAAACCATTGGACCTAGTAAACTGTAGGCAAGGTTTCCGGTGTGTATGATTACTTTCAGGAGACTGATTTTATAATTATCAATAGCTTTTCATTAAAAGCGACGCAGAACAATAACAAATAAACAGGTAACAATCACTTGTGGTGTGTGAACACGTCTTTATTGCTTCGTAATATGAGGGGTTGTGTTATCAAATGATCGGGTGTTTAACACTCTAAATGAATTACACGAAAACTTCTTGTATATTGGAAAGAAGAATTTGCAATATATTTAGCATTATCCATTTTTGTAATCGGACTTATCAAACGAAGAATACGTTACTTCGATATGTTCACAGACACTGGTGTCGCGGAGGTGATGTCATGGGGGGGGGGGGGGGGGGCAATGGTTTATTTAGAATACACAAATTATCGCGTCTACTTTCCTCCTTATTTTGCCTCAAAGCGCTACGCCACCGTATACTGAATATGCATCGCTTTCTGAGTGTGCTTGCGTGACAATATTAATGAACCCATTGAGTGTGAAAGTGTTTGGCTTAAAGGTATATATTCCTGGGATCACATCAAACAATCTTTAAAGTTATGATATGATACATTGTGGTCAAGATTTCAAATTATTCACAGAAGAAAGATGACTGTTCTATCTCTTTTATAGGTATGATCAATCAATGATACATATCAATATCGTTGGAATATATCGTTTAATAGTTTGTTGAAACGTAAAAACATAGATATATATGCATTGAATATCATGTCAAGTGTATTTACAACATACATACAGATAATACATTTTCATAGTTATTACATATATAAGATTTATCTAACATCGGTATAAAAACATATTACTATCGTATTTCCAACTGTTTCCTGCTAATATATGCCTAAATATAGTGCAAAAATGTACTTTTTTCCATAATCGTGAAATAGCATGCGTTGCAATTCAAGTATCAACTGTAATGTAATGGATAACACTTTAGTTTGGTTGCTGCAAATACAATATTATTGTTAAATCTTCCGTAGAGTTAATCTTAACTTTTAATTCTGATGCAAGATTATATTTAAAGAAATTGAAATATGGAAGCGTAGATTTAAATGGCAGTATTTCAAGGAAGTCAATGTTAATCTATACACCTACGCCTGAGTTGTAAGAAAACCTGCATCAGTAATTTTTTTCAAGGTGGAGTCGATATGAAATTTGACACTACTTCCGATGTATCAACATCGATCCGAATTAGTTACCATGTAGTGGTGGATCTACGAGCGGGGAAAGGAGGGAGGGGGGGGGGGGCATATAACCCTATAAAACACAATCTGAATCTCTAACGTACATGATAAATACAAAGAAAAATGTGTCTCATATATATTATGACCGCCTCCCACACAGAAACGTGAGTCCCCAATATCGCATTAGAAATAAGCCTATAACCCATTGTCTTGTGTGTGTTTGCTGGCTTGTCTGAAATTTGGACTAAATTTATATCTGAAGTATGATACCTCATTTTGCTAGTTAGCGTTTATTAGATTAAAAAAGGGCCTACAAATCTTGTTAGATGGACCCTCCCCCGACTACCGGATCCGCAACATGCACATTATGATTTCCATCAAAGGTGTACCCTTTGGTAAGCTCATTATCTTACATCCCAGCTATTAATCACACAACGTTCTCCAGACATTTGAAAAACACCTCGAGGACGTTCAAGCGTTTATAGAACTTTTATTTCCGTCCCTAAACTTTTTTGTTCCTGGAAAAGTGACATGTCAGTATCAGCCTGGTACACGCTAACACTAATCATGCTTAGGGCGTAAATCACGTAAAGGTAAATATTCAAGGCTGATATAAGATTGATGAATACAGAATAAGTACCCTTAAAAGGGATAAATTACATGTAGATTTATCTTGGTATTCTATTGATAAAATCCATATTCAATACGAGATACATAAAAATATACCACAATTAGTTGATGATAATCCATCCACCAATACCCATCCATACTTGCTGTCCCGGATCGCATTTCCTACCAAAGCCAAGTGAACCCCACCTCGCTTTCAAATATGTGTTCTTGTCTCATTCTTGTCTCGTCTAAAAGTTTCAGCATAAATGTTGACTTTGTGGAAGTAGCACAAACTCTGCCCTTCTTTGGTGTGCATTTTCGTTAACACGTTTAGGACAAGAGACTTGTATCCTCTTTCAAAGTTTATCCACGGTTAGTTGGCGCCCTTGCGTTTCGTAGTCATGCAGAGGCATTTTTTTTTAGCAATACCCTCTATCGACCCAGGGGTTGTATATATGCTCCTGGCAGGTAGGATTTCCTTTGATACTATGATCTGGTTGATTCGCAATGTCCAAGTAACATTGGAGCCCCTTGAATACCACGGCGCGGAGACTTTGACAGCGCCCAAGAACCCAGGATCACCATCATCATCATATGTGGGAGGTGAAAAGATGACAACTTGTTATCCTTGTCTTCGCTCAGAGTTTGTTTCCATCACCACGACGATTAAGTAAGTTAATATATTTTCTTAATAATGAATTCTTCGGCTGTGTCAAACCGATGTTGATTTGTCGGGCGAAGACGTCACGACGTCGAGGTACTGGTGTCGAGGCGGCATGGGCGTCGACGTCGGGGTCTTATAGAAGTTGTAGAGAGGGGTAAATCCTAGTCCACCGTACACGTATTCGTTATCCTCCTCGTCTCGTATTTCGTGAGCGCCTTGTGCACATTGCTCGTAGGAGTGAACTGGGGATTGAGATATTTGTGGGGTAAAGAAAATTAATACTTTTTATCAGAATTATTATTTTTTATTTCGTAGAATATAGTGACGATAAAGTAGTGGTGATTACTAATTAACCTATATCATATTTTCCTCACAGAAATGCACTAATATATAATGTAATTCGAATGGTTGTCATTTTTTTTTAAATAGGTGCCTTTCATACTGCACATCTCATGCTGTGACAACAATTTATAATCTAATCTTAGACCTAAAACCTAATCTAACTCTTACCTACAGTTAAACCTAATATATCACATGTTAATCCCATTTGCAATCCAAGCTCTCGTCTACATTTCAAATTTATAGCTTACAATCCGGGCGTTCAGCATTCCTTCATAGCGTAGTAAGGTATAGGATATTTTATCCATTTAATTTCCCTCCAATAGTAATTACAACGTTATATTCTGTAAAAAACTGACATATTTGAAATATATCATTGAAGTATTTTCTCAGCAAACCAGATAAGGATATAATTTTTTATATTACACTATTAAAGACACGTTTTCTCTTTACTCTTCATCATCGAAATCACAAGAAAAACTTACGATCGTCCACGGACTTGCCCAGGTCAATATGAATATCGGCGATAGCCATGGCATTCTGACCGTCCACTGACCGAGCAAAGAAGCTGCCCTCTAGCGGTTCTGTACCTACAGTGATCTCTAACATGAGATCAACATCGAACGGTGTTGTGGCTACGTCGGCTGTAAACTGAAATGATCACTTTTGTAAATATATATTGTATCCATTCTAAAGACAGTAGTACAATAGCGCCTTTTACTGATACGTTATATGTTTACGTCTCAATGCGCGTCTAAAGTAATTTTTTTTTTTTTTAATTTCGATTAACGTCGCATTTGTTTTTAATCATCCACGTCGAAAGTAACAAGACACTCAATCAAGATAAATAACAACAAAACTGTTTTACTCAAGACATGCATTGTCGCATATTACAATATACATCTCTATGCGCTTCCAAATAACTTTGGGAAATCGAAACTATTTAGGCCGCATTCATACAAATAACCTTGGAATTAAACTTTTTTGTTTTTAAAAGTAACAATGTATAATATCAGATGTAAGAAAGTGTTACACAAAAGTCGAAAATTGAACATTTGTTAATGCAGGATTCAAGGATACATTTGTGCATAGAGGGAAGCATGATATAAAATGGTTACTGTTTATCGTCATCATGATATTGACCATTACGAAATAGATTATTCAGAGGCTTTTTCCTCATTTAAGGCAAATCCCATTTCCATACCTTAATGTAATATTTGATATCAATGAAGCTGCATCCCTCCAGACCGGAGGCGGGTACAGGGGGTATGACGAGTGGTTTCTGCACCCATGTGGCTCTGGAATAGGAACCACACCCTTCCGAGCTGATACTCTTCACGACGTGTGAGGTGGTACGGAAACCTGGCGCGCCCACCCCTTCTCTCCTGGCGCCGTAGTTCACGGACTGAGGATGGAAAAGGGGTTGATTTGATACAAGTAATGAGAATAAAAAGGAAAGAAAAACAAACGAAGGAAGAAGGGATGAATGGAGAAAGAATGAATTGAAAGGAAGAAGGAAAAACTGAAGAATTAAGAAAATGAAGTATAGATCTGTCAGCTATTTTTATGCATACATTGTGAAGGCCTAAGTTTCTATCGGCAAGTTTAAAGCTTGCCAAAGGGTTGCCTGACTTATCAACACCAATTTTCTATCTATGGAGATGCTATTGTGCTGAGTAGGTGAATCAAATGGTTTTAACCAGGGTCTCAGGAGAGAGACTTGCATAAATTATTCAAAAAATATATATATATATATTACACAGGTCTGTCGAGTATCGAAGTTAACGGACGTCCGAGGGATAACGTGTGAAAGCTCCACTAACTGAGAAAAAAATAACACCGATTACAAGTAGTTCGTAAACTGGAATTTCTCAGAGATCTATAGTCTTGCATTTCTTGGCCTCTCCACATTGGATATAAAACCAAGAGCTGATAATGCCTAAGCGTTGACGCCTTGATACATAATTCTTAAAGAGAATTTTGTTCCACAAGAAAAGCTGAATAAGACATGATCCATATAATTTAATATTTATTTACTATATTTCAATTTAATGATTACACTTGATTTGTTATCTAATCAATTCGGGTGTATATATAAGTGTGTGTGTGTTAGTGGGTGTGTTTTTAATTATTTCTTCCTTGACTAATTTCTTACATTTTTTGTTAAATTCATTAATTTTCTTCATTCATACTTTTTATAGGGGGAGGGGGATGTGGGTGTCTGATGTTTTCATTTGTCACAATTCCCATCTTTCCTATTGGTATCAAGGGACTTTAGGATATGAAATCCATTTTCTAGTACTTGGCGCTATTAATTTCATATGATTATAATTTAATCACCTGAATTAGTTCTGCCTCTAACGTACACACACTGCGTCGACTTTTGTTTTCCAGGTTCGCCGAAATATACACGACTTCCCCGGGAACGTAGCATTTCTTATCCGTATGCGCAGAAACGCTGATAGGCCCTGTTGCGCAGCACATACAGCATACAATCTTCTCGTCTTCCGCGTACACAGGGCTCTAGAGAGGAGAGGTTAAGATGGAGAATGGGGGAAGAATGGAGAGAGAGAGTGAGAGAGGGGAGAGAGAGAGGGAGAGAGAGGGAGAGAGAGAGAGAGAGAAGGGAGAGAGAGAGAGAGAGAGAGAGAGAGAGAGGGAGAGAGAGAGAGAGAGAGAGTGGGTGAGAATAATAATAAATATATGGGAATAAAGAAAATAAGTAAAAGAATATATAATGTTAAATGCAGATGCATGGGTATACATCGAGAAATGCCTGAATAAATAAATGTACAAGGGAGTACAAAAGAAGAAATAAACCAGATAAACAGAAAAACTTCCCGGAGGGTGTGGGGCCGATAGCCTCACCGTAGATAAGGAAAATATAAATTCTTAGTTTTGTTGCCATTTAAATGTTTAAGGAGGTGAGGTCTTTAAGTAATTACAACTCCATCTGATATGGATTTATATTTTTCTTGAAAACTGTATAAGACTTAAAACGAAATAGGGCTCCAAAGAATCATAACAAACAAGTTGATGTTATCACTATATATTCATGAGGAATAGTAATCCATTTCCTGATGAGATTGGATCCTCTTTAATCTACATCATTTGGTCAGCCTTTAACCGTAAGCAATAAAGTAACTCCGACAGAGTAGTTTTTATATGTCATCAGGCGATATAGGTCACCAACTTCATATAAAGCCATAACGGTTGCCATTAAAGTTCGGTAAATTCTGTTTTTGCGGAAATCCTTATTATCCATTATATCTAAAAGCGTAAAACTCTCGAAACCATCATCGATCATCTTTTAATTTTGTTTCTAGCTTATCTAGTTATATTCCATATCCTTCAATCATGTGTAAGTCTCACCATATTTATTCATTCTAGATGCATATCATTAAAAGAGGAGATATAAATATGAAAAAAATATGAAATAGAGAAGTAATAAGTTTCCTTGTTTTTTTTTTGTCTTCATTGCCAGAGATGTCAATCTAACACTAAATCTGCAATTGCCCAATTTCAAGTTGCGGATCCAGCTGCCTTTCAGAGAATTTTCGGATTTGTACCCCCGAACCCCGAACCTCTCGCAAATGGCTTATGGGTACATTAAATACGATAAAGTGTATTGTTGTCGCTCTTATCAGTATACCATCAGGGAGGGACTGATTTTTGGGGGTGGCTGATCCCGTCATGTGAAATGAGCCTATACGTCTGTTACACACGAGGTCTCATTTCGGAGGCATCAGTTCCTACTTAAGCATGTGGAGACATTGATTTAGTACTTGCGCCAGCAATCCACAGTATACTTGTACGACTAGTATATTTGTACTAGTCGTTTTGCATTCACTTCTATAGCGATAACACTCTCATTTGGCTCATCAAAGACCGCACCAGCCCCTGACGCAGTAAAGCGTCAGCAAATAACGCCTCGTGTGCTGCAAACGCTTACCATTCCGCTTGGAATTTTATTCAAGTCGACCGACACGCCGGAGATGGTGAAAGCCCGCTTGGTGACGTGGTCGAACTTCCAAGGCCTGTCGATGACGGCTCGGGCGAAGAACCTCGAGTAGCCCAGGGTTCCCTCGAACGAACACGGCAAGACGCGGGATGGGAGCTGGAACTCGAAGGGAAATCGATGATCGCCGGTCTCAAGGGGTATTTGGTGGTCGTAATTCTCTTCGCATGGTTCTGAAAAATACAGATTTAATCAAAAAACAAACAAACAAGATGATTATATTTACAAGTGAGAGAAACGGATTATCTTATAATGTGAAAGTAAGAATTACAACGTGGCGAATACAACGTTTTATACAGTGCATGTTCCTTTCGTTATGCCTTAACCTGTCAAACACAAACCAAAGTCAACATTGAATTTCAAGTTTACTTATTGGGTGTATTCTCCTCTGGACCGATTTTTGGGGGGTTTGGAGGGGATAAATGTTCTATTAAGTTTTAGAATTCCAATCATATTTTTCTCTGTAAAGAAGAAAGTTGTGTGAAGAAGAAAATTAAATTGCCTTGTTGTTTCTTTGAGCTCCTTTTCGTGAATGTTAAAGCCCAAATTAAAAACCTGAAATTAGTTTTGCCGGAGATTTAGGTACTGTGCCCTCACTCCCTTTCACCAAGGCATGAATTCGCCCTACTCTATGACAAAATCAATTCACATTTACTAATTCACATTGATAATAGGGTTCCTTCCATGATTAATTTTGCCCTTCTCCATGACCAGGTACATATGTAAGTACCATTTCGAATACATAATATATTAACCCATGTTTGTGATGGCCTCCGCCTACCCTCCTAATTCACTAGACTTTTCATGTCTTTCTCAGTTTTGGGAGTCTTTTTTTTACATTTTACATGACATTCTTTGATTTTCCATGACAGTGGGAACGCTGTGCCATCTTGCACGTATTGCTTCACACAGTTGGAAAGCCACAAAATAATTTATATTAAATAACAACAAATAATGATTTTACTCTACCTTTTCCAAGTATCTGAATATTTTGGTCGAAGTAGCACTCTCCCGCCATATAAGGTATGGTGACCTTTGACTTGCCACGTGACTCGATCTCAGTCCAGCTAACCATCGCACGCCCAACAAACTGCATGTATATACCTAAAAATAGAGGGAGAGAGAGAGAGAGAGAGAGATGGAGAGAGATTTAATTTAATAAGGTATGGTTCTTCTTTGGGGAAAAAATGCATTACATAAATATCGAATAATCTGCATTCACATCATGCAATCATGAAGCTTGATGGCATTTTTACTTAATATTTACCCCCCCCCCCCCCCCGAAAAAAAAAAAAAAAAAAAAAAAAAAATCAAAAAAAAAAAAATCAAAATGAACGACCTAATCCTTTTATGACTCGGTCATTGTCCCATCATCGTAACCGATACGATTCAAGAGCAAGAAGTGAAACATATAGAGCACCATTTTGGATGCTTCAACTGTACTCCAGGGTCGACCGAAGCCAAATGATGCATGCATTCATGCGACTATTACTCGGGCGGAGCGGAGTACGTGGAGCGTGTATTTCCCAGGGTCTCGTTACTAGGTAGTGTCATTTACACGACTGTATCTAATGAAACAGACACAATCACATGCAGTTCACACTGCCAATGAAACTCGTTTACACTGCCAATGAAACTCGTTTACACTGCCAATGAAACTCGTTTACACTGTCAATGAAACCCGTTTACACTGTCAATGAAACCCGTTCACACTGTCAATGAATCCCGTTCACACTGTCAATGAAACCCGTTCACACTGTCGATTGATAAAAAAGCTTTTTCTTCGTCGAGGATATTTTAGCGCACAAGTCACGCAAGTTCCCTATGCCAGATCATTATCATAAATTCAAATGTAATGATTTTCGATTACCACGATTACGGACTTGTTGAAATTTTCTCTCGCTTTCGCTATAAAAAGGGTTTATGCATTTTCTCTATACAATCTATACAACGTGAAAAATCTCAATGCCAGACTTTTGGACAAGCGTATATCTCAACAATGTTGATGATACCCCAGACCTATATCATTTGGGGGAAAAAGGGAAGATGGGCATGTCCTACCCTTTCCCCTCTTCATGCACTTTGACTAAATAGTTTCCAAATCTTCTCATTTAAATAATGTTAAAAAACAAAACCAACAACGACAGCGAATTTAGTTATAGGATAATATCCAAGACGGAGATCAATTTTTCTATTTGTAGAATAGGTTGTAGGATTATTTATACTGCATTGAGGTAGATATTATTTTTATAAAAACAAAATGTTGTAAATTCTTAAAAACCCGTGAATACTAATTTGACATGACAGCATAATTTGACATAAAAGCACAGATCATCCCGGGGCTGGCATACCGTAACCGGGGATATGGCCGGCTGCATTGGTTCCCGCGGAGATAAAAATTCCCGCGCGTGACAATCTCTGTCGGACATCCCTGTCCCGCCATGAGAACACCACCGAGTAACAGTATCAGAGTGATCTATTAAGTGCGTGCCATGCATAGCATACATTTTAGAGGATTTGAGGGAAAGAGCGAAAGAAAAAAGAGAGAGAGAGAGGGGGGGGGGGTGGGGGCTGACATAATTTGTCATTGAGAGGTTTTAAAGGAAGTGTACATCCCTTTGGCAAAATCTTATAATTATTATGTTATATATATTACACCATGGGCAAATAGGCAAGGGTGAGAAGGGGCAAATGAGCCATACTCTTTCTTTTTAGGGATGCTTGTTAGCCTAGGGATAATTTTCCAACTCGTCTTTCCCGATGGGAAATATAAAATTACCCCTCTTGGCAAAAAATATATTATATAGAAGAAAAAAAGCCCAACAACACATGATTCTTTTTACATCATCAGGGGGTAATAAAATACAACGGGTTTGTTGTAGTTGAGGACTGTGGCGATCTTCCCACAGTTCGTCAACCCTTCTGACCATCATAAGTTCTGTTTCATAAAACTTCCTATCAATAACAAATGCTATCTTTCTATGAAAAATTCGCTCTCAGCCAATCAAATACCACAATTTTAGTAGCGTATAACAGTTATTGTAACTTGTTATTGATACCCCGTCTTGACTACATCGAATGGTTGAAGAGAAAAAATGGTTGATAATTAAATGCATTGAGTAGCCCGCAGTGTGTAATATGCAAAGAAGACCTATTTTTAACGATCTATGGTAGATGTATAGTTACTTTAGTTTTAATAATATATCTGAAGCTGTCTTGAATAGCATGGACATTTTTTTTCTTCTTCTCGAAATGAACTGACAACTATTGATACTTTTTAATTGAAAATGTCAACTGATAAATATTTGCGAAATTAATGGTCACACATTTTTTGTTAAATTCCATCTGATTTTAGATATTTAGAGTTTTCGGAATTTAAAAATTGCAATTATTATCTGAAGTTGTTTTGAAAAAGGCTAGACGTTATTTCTAATGAATCTTTCATTTTCATTATTTCCTGTATCGTTAGACAAAATTACAAAATTATCATTTAAAGGTAACTTAAGTACAAACATATTATAGGTTTTGAAACATAATAACTTCGGTTCGTATCTTTCTTTTTTTAACATGAATAACCACTGCATTGCGCTGAAGAACATAATTCAAGATGGTGACGAGATTCACACTGACATAATGGATTCCTACTGGCAATCACATTGGCATTGTATATCTATTCATAGAAATATAGCTATGCATTAAACCTTCAAACTGTCACCCCACTGTCTGTGCAGGTGTATTTGGGCTTTGTCACTCTACCTTCCCCCGGGCTATGGCTGTCACAAAATCATCCATTAGCGTTTCCTTCTCATGATGGTGCCCGATTTAGCGGTATATCACCACACGATTATTGCGAGCTCGGATGCAGCGATCTGTCACCCACCAGGTGGGGCTAGAATGTTCTGAGTCTAGAATATGTAGACAATTGCCTTTTAAAAGGGAGTAGCTGCGAGGTGGGGGGGGGGGGGGAGGGGGCTTGGACGCGTGTCCCCAAATCAAATTGGCTAAGAGAGAGAGAGAGAGAGAGAGAGAGAGATATAGGAAGAGAGAGAGAGATGGGGTGGGGGAGAGATTGAAAGCCGAAAAGGGACATGAACAAAAGATGATAGGATTCATGTCGATCAGTAGCGTTTTTTATTTGCACAGACCGATGCCTCCTATATACAAGTACGGCAGTTTCATGGTGGCAGTGTGGTTCTAACCTCGTCATGCCATTTGGGTGTGATTATGCCCTCAGTGCATCTGCCGAACCTAGGCTACTCCACTATCATGGATGGACGAAAAGGGGAAACAATGATGTTTGAGGGCAAACTTCTTGTCAGACTACGACGGAAGTTGTTATCAACAGTTTCTCATCTGTTTAAGACGGGTACGAAGAAAGAAAAACACTTCGCTTTCCTTTCCTAACATTCTTGAAATGTAATAAGCTGGTTAAATGTCCGGCAAGTGTTTAATGAATGGCGTAGGAGCCATAAGAAATATTACAATGTCTCACATTGGCTACTATTACCTTGAGATCACACATTAACAAAAAGTGATTAACAAGAAAATCTGCGTATCGAATCTTTGCTGCTTTTTTGATCATTTAACTGAAGGGAATTTAAAAGGGATGACACTACACCATGTTACATATGAGGGGGAGAAAGCATCACTAAACAACTCAGGTACATGTATTACAATTGAATAATCGGACAATTTCTGCAGGCTTTGTTACGTCACGGATATAGGATTAGGTTTGCAATTATATTTGAGCTATAGGGTAAGGGTTACTAAGGATTTAAATTCAGGATTCAAGGAATTCGTATCGTGCAGATTATTAATTGCAGAGCAAGTCCCGCAGGAGCACTATGCGTCGTAGAACCTAACCGCAGTTTTCGTAAAGAATAATATTTATGGAGATTATGCGGGCTTGGGGTGGTGGCTTGGGATTTTTTGTATTCATTTTCTAAACGTGCCTCGCTTAAATTCATTCATAATCAAGACAATTTTTGTTGTGGGGGTTTAGCAACCAAGCCCCCCTCCCGAACCGCTGCTGCTGGAAAAAAAAAGGAAAAAAGAAGAAGAAAGAATCATCGCGAAAGAGAAGGTAGGGGTGGTGTGTGTGTGTGGGGGGGGGGGGGGGTGACATTTTTGACTGGTTTCTTAAAATTGGATTGAGATAATGCATCTGGCGAGCAAACATAATCACAATCTGCAGACGTCGGAGAGTAATCTCGGCTACGCAAACAGCTCGATGAAGAGAGAGAGAGAGCTTTGCAGTGCTGAGAACTGCCTTGCATGGCGACTAACAACTGATATCTTAAGAACTGATATCATTGTTATCATCACGTTGTATACACGGCCTTCCTGTATTTGAGTTAAAGACATAGTTGAGTTCTGATCATGCAATTGCATTGAGAAAGAAACCGGTCAAAGACAATGTGTGAAAGTTAATCGAAAGATTGATCATGAAGTACATAAAAGTAATCGTGTCACACTCGTCAATTACTTATTGAAATGTGCGAACATTAGAATGACGTAATCTAAACAGAATATCTATGGGGTGTTCAGCAGGATATTGATATTGCCATTGAGTTGATTTTTCGAAAGTGTATGCGATCGTGCTAATAAATAATATACATTTACAGTGGAAATCAATGCTAACATTTAGGCCAGATTACTATTCCATTTATCAGGGGAAAGAGTGTAGGGGGCGGCAGTCCCTTTGCCCCCACCCCGCAGTATATCCTTTTTTTTTCGTATTGAGGTTGAGGTAAAACAAAATGATGAGGATCTATAGAGGCCTACCCAATGCATTTCCTATCTGTTGCTCAAGAAGTAGTGTTTTCATATCTACTCATGATCGTGTACGTTATATAAACACGCACGCACCATAATATGGCTGCTTGGTATATCGGCTTGAATTATTGTCACATTAATATCAAACTGAATGTATTTCAACCTTTTAAATCAGTGTGTGTGCGTAATTGTGTTCACTCTATCTGGTTATTTACGCCTTTGAACAGACTAAAAACCAACACATTAATCTGTATCCATGCAACGGCGTAATAAGCAAAACCTTTTGGGGGGCAAACAAAAGATCCGTATCACCACCTGACTATAAATTT